ACAATTTTTTTTTTTTTTTTTTGGTATGGGGATCGAACTTATAACCTCATACTTGCCAGGCAGGTGCTTGTACTGCTGAGCTAAATCCCCTGCCCTAAATGTTTACAATTTTTTAAACTTTTTTACTTTTAAATAAAGTATCCCATTATTATTATTATTATTATTATTATTATTATTATTTTGGTATTGGGGATCAAACTCACAACCTCACACTTGCCAGGCGGGCAGTTGTGCTGCTGAGCTGAATCCCTGGCTCCATTTCTTTCCTATGCTGCGATTCCATAATTTTCTTAAGCTCATCTATTTTTTTTCTTTTTTTGTCTGTGTCTGCTCTAACGTCGTAAGCATGGTGTGCATTTTAGTCATCTCTGTAGTCATCTGAGAGGTTGTTTCTGATTTCATCTTTCCAGAGCCTCATTCAGCTGCTTTGTTGTTTCCACTTCTGAGAGGCCTGGGGGGGCTCTCAGAGTGTCCCAGCTCGCTGTCCCCTGGATTTGCCTTTGGGGAGCTGGATGTCTGGGGCTGCGTTTTGCTTACCTGTCTTCTCATTTCATTTTCTCTCTTACTTTAGTTTTAGTTCTGGGGTGATGCTTGTAGGTTGCTTGTGGTGGGTTTCCTTATTGGTAGTGTTTGGGACCCTTAGGTGATGATTACGTCTCTGAGATGTCTTCTAGGTATAGCTGGTTTTTGGGTTTAGAGTCTGCTGGAAGAGCTTACCTCTTCAGGTTGTTGGAGATGAGAGGTTGTTACTTGTTTGGTCTAGTCTCTGGTTCTTTGGCACTGTGCCACCCTATTTTCTGTGACCCGTAGTCAATCTCAGTCATGAATTATCAGGACCAACAGCTGTTTAGAGCAGCTATATCAGTTTTGGCTATAGTGGTACCGACAGCATCATCAAACACAGCCTAGAAAACAAGAAACCGAGCTAACCCTTAATTTGCCACTTTTAACCACATGAACTAGATTTGTGATTACATAACAAAATGTAAAACAAGCCAGATAATTATATGCCATGTAGAAGTCTGTAATGTGTCAATTCTGCCCTGGGGGTTAAAATTTAAAATGGATTAGGGAGAAAATAGAGAAGTGGAAGAAGAGGGAGAGATTACAAGAAAGGTTAGAGGACAAAGGGGGATCACCCAATTTGGGAAAACTGGTACAAAAGACTGAAGGAAAAGAGAGATAGAAGCAATAAAAGAAAAGAGAACAGAGTCACTCCCTCAAGGGGTGAGGAACCACTTTCACACTCATAAAAACAATGAAGGAGAAAGAGAAAAAAAAACAAATGACAAAGACAAAAAGAAAAAGAAAAACAGTCCAGTTTCAGGATTCTCTCTGGTTTCACTAATAGACAGTCCTATATCGTGCTGATCTAGCCCAGCAAGCCAGCAGTTGCTTATGTGGGATAGTACCTAATCTCAGCAGGCCTGCCCTGAGACCAGACTCATCGGACTTGCTGTATCCAAGGAATTTCTGCAGTTCTGCGCCCAGCTGGGGTCTGTTAGAGGAAGCCAGCAGCAGTTCTGGGTTCCAGGCTCGGCTGGCCCATCTCCAAAGTGGCTCCTGGCTAACTGCTCTCTCCCCAGAGGAGGACTATGTCCTCTGCACTCACCACCAGCCAGTGCAGCCCTCCACATCCACTGTCCCCCCACCCCCCGCCACGTCTCTCTGCAGGGACCTCCAGTGTCACCAGGCACCACCTCCACCATGACTGAACAGCTCCTCTGATCTACCGTCGCCTTCTTCACTGAAGCTTCTTTTCACTGTCTCTGTGGGCTTCAGGTTTCACTTCAGCTTCTTCCTGGGTCCAGGCACCGCTTCCTTCCTCCCGTCTTCCTTGTCATGCTGCATCCCAGCGTCTGGACGGTGCCTCTCAGCGAGGCTGTGTTCTCCTCCACTGTTTCCCGGAGGTCTTCTCCCTCCAGTCTTGAGCCTGACACAGCACGGGCATTTGCCCCCCAGGGTTGGGCACAGGTACTTGCCAGGAAGACACCTAATGCTTCAGCTTGCTTCAAGCTGTCCTCAGGGTGGCCTCACCTCACCCTGTCTTTCCTGCCGAGGACTGAAAGAGATGGACATGGCCAAAGGGTGCCTTATCCAGTGAAATTCCTAGGTGGGAACCATGAGCATCTTCATTTTTCTTTTATATACGAGGAAATGGAGATTTAGGTTCTATAATTCAATGCCACACAGTAAAAATTGGAAAAACTGGGGTTCAGCCTAAGCCTTTCTGATCCCTGATCGGAAATCCATCGCCTCCATGTCCTGGTGCTTTACAGACTCCAAGTGTGGCCGTGGCCAGGGTGTCAGCAGCACCTGGTGCCCAGTGGGCATGTGGAGCCTCGGCTGCTCCTCGGACCAGCTGCACCAGAACTGCATCAACCCAGAGCTCCAGGGACCCAGGTGCACACTGGGTCTGAGAGGCTCTGCCCTGTGATCCTTTCTGTCTCTGGATGCCTTGAGTTTGCCAAGTCCTTGACAATGCAAGACAGACATCCTTGGTGTAGTGGGTAGGCACATGGCCTCTCAAATTCAAGTTTCAGGGTTCAAATCTTTGTGTACCATTTATTAGAGCTGTGTGGCTCTTGGCAGGCAACTTAACCCTATAGTATGTTGGTTTTCTCATCTGTAAAATGAGGATATGTTTAGTATCCACAGAACTCAGTATACGTCCCACTTGGACACCGGGGGAGAGCATCTTGAGAGCCACATAGGTAGGGGTCAAGCAGCCATTGGCTTAAACTCTGGGCTCTGAGTTCCTAATAAGGAACTTGTCTTTCTTAGGTTGTCCTGTCATGATGAGGTATATAACCTGGATGCTGCCCAGATAAATCCCAACACCTTCTTCCAGGCAAGGCAGGGATCAGGGTGGGGGAGGGAGACACCACACAGCTTTCATGGGGATGGGGCTGCAGGATCACAAATCACTAAGATGATGCCTGATTCTCAGCCTCTGGGTGCCCTTGGTGTCTCCAAAGACATGCCATTTCCTAATACCCACATCTGCCCAGAGCCCGCAGAGCAGCCCTTCCCTCCTCCAGGGAGGGGCCCAGTACCCCTGCCCACCCGAGCTCCCAAAGCTGCTTCCCACTGGTGCTGGTATAGAGCTCTTTGTGTGGTTGAGGAAATTCCCACTGAAGGAATTCACTTTTTTCTCTGTGATCCCCAGGCATAATCTTCCCAGGGCACATTTGCATTTCAAGTAGAAACAAACAGCCTTCACCACTGATTGGAGGGTTGAGGGGCCCTAATTCTCCAGGTCCTTCCCCGGCCTCCCTCCCCCTCCCCCTGCAGGGGTTGGGCAGTATCCTTCTGAGGAGGCTCCTACGCGGGGTGAAGGGTGCAGGAGAGCTGCAGTTCCCAGATGTCATGGTTTCCTTTATTAATTAAACTTTTTATGGGGAGAGTTAGAGTTATTTTGCCAAAGTCCCTTTTATCATCAGTTTCCTGTCACCATTGCCAAAGAGCAAGAAAGAAGTCACCTCAGTCTGCTCAGTGGAATAATTTAGCTTCTGCAAGCCTGCTACATTATTCTTAGGTTTTCATTTTGCACAGACCAGTTTTGGGAGCCACGCACCGGACGGACCATGGCCTGGCCCAGCCCTCAAGGTCTGCAGGGTTTTAAAAAAAAATTTTAAAGAGAATTAAACCAAGCAACACAAAACAGTGCAAGTGATACAGGACTTCAGAACAAGACAATAGGGAACCAACAGTGGTTACCATACTGCCTCTTGTTGTCTTCAAAATTGCTGCCCATACCCTCAGACACAGCAAAAATCAAACAAAACAGAACCAATAAAAACAACAATGAATGCCATAACAAGATCATCAGAAATCAAAAATGGCTACCATAATATAGCTTGTTGTCTTTGAAAAGCTGCCCGTGCCATTGGTTATAATAAAATCAAACAAAACGAAACAGAACAAAACCCAACCCAACAAAACAATGAAAATGATACAGGACTTCAAAACAAGATAACGGAATTAACAACGGCCACCACCTTCAGCAGGAGATTCCCCATAGATGCTACATTACGTGTTGTTATGCTCTGAGTAGAAGATCACACTACTGGCTTTAGGCCTGCAAAGTCAGTAAAACACTAAACACTACAAGCAATAAGTTATATTTTACCTCAGTAGCCCTCATCACAGCCTGTGTTTCTCCACATGAGCCAGCCACTTACAGCAGGGGGCAGGGAGGGTGGTGGTTAGCTGTTCCTGTCTCCCAGCCCAGCACTGGAAGGGGCTGGCATCTGGTTCACCCCCCAGCACACCGTGCATGGCACCAACTCACAGGGAAGGTTTGCTTCTTGTTGACTTCTTGTTCTCTTCCCCTGCAGTCTGCAGATGGCGCCGACTCACAGTAAAAAGGCTGGCATCTGGCGCTCATCCCAGTAGCCCACACATGGTGCCAACTCTCGGGGAGGGCTGGCTTCTTCAAACTCTAGTTTTCAAACATCACATTCACACCACATTAAAAGTATAGTCTCAGATGTTAACAGTTAATGCTCACTTTAATTTGTCAGACTTTCATTTAACATTACGCCCTGTAATGTTAAATGACCACAAGAAAGGGAAATTGAGGCACGAGACTGGGACTGAGGCGAGTAGGAGGAGCCATGCCCCTTTCCTGCTGAATCTGCTGCCCAAGACTTGAGCTGTAGGAGGCAGCTGTATGGTCGGACCTGACCCATAAGTGCTTGTGCGTGTGAGTGTGTATATGTGTGTGCTGAGGGTAGGGTGCACGTGGCCTTAATGTGAGCCCCCATCCAAGAAGCCTCACCCCTCCTAGTGCTCTTCTAAGCCTGGCTTCACCCTGCATATTATGCTCGCCTAATCCCCAAGGATCCATGTGAAGCAGGTGTGGCAGCGGCTTGGCAGCAGGAGCCCTGGGCCCAGAAGGACAAGACCCTGTTTTACTCCAAGGCTGCGCTGGCCCTCACCCTGGTGTCTGGGTCTCCTTGGCCTTTGCTCATGGATGTTCTTCGGTCCCATTTCAGGTGTGTGTGGCTGCTGTGGTGCCCTTCGGCCCAGATACAAGAGGCTGGTTGACAACATCTTCCCCGAGGATCCTGAGGTAGGTCATACCTCTGGTGGCATCGTGACTGTCACCACCCGGGTATCTGAGCTTGCTGCATGGGCCTGCAGGCATGTTGGGGCCCTGGTCTCGAAAACTCAGCCAGATCACCAGGAAAGTTGAGGGGATATGGTCTGTCAGGCTGCAGAGAGGCAGTTGTGTATCGGTGCCCTTCTCGGCTTCCTGGAGGAGGGTCCCCTGAGTAACTCCTCTGTAGGAGACCCCCCCTACTGGCTGTGCTTTGGTTCAGAGCCGCATCTTCCCCAGCTGCCCCTGGCGCTGTGGGATGTCTGGTGTTAATGTAAGGAGGCCCAGCAGCCTGGCTTCCAAGCTGCCTCATCCCACGTCGGGCTGCATTGTGGGTTGTGGTCTGAGAAGTGTGAAGTGATGTACATGACCGGCTCTCCTGGAATCACTGTTCTCTGCTGAATGGACAGTCTCATTTCCTGCATCCTCAGGAGAATTCCTAAGGGCCACAGAGCTCCTGCTTTATAACTTGGGGGTGGCTCCAACGCATCTTAATTCCGAGTGGCTTTTAATGAAGGCTTGTTATTCAGTCACACACACCTGCAGGCATGTTCGCACACCCAGCCACACATGCATATACATTCATGCATGTATTTACATTCAGGTATATATGCATACTTCTCTCATTCACTGTTCGTATTCATTCAGGGCTCGCCAGCGTTCAGGGCTAGACTGAGGCGGGGGCCTGGGTCTCTGACGGCCAGCATGATGCCCGGCTCGGGCACAGCAGGCCCTGGGTAAATGTTGATTCAGTTGGCTGTGTTTACCTCCAAGCGTAAACCCTTCTGCCACGGTCTGGCCGTGATTTTGAACCATCTCTTGCAGGATGGCTTGGTAAAGACAAACATGGAGAAACTGACCTTCTATGCCCTGTCCGCCCCGGAAAAGCTAGACCGCATCGGCGCCTACCTCTCCGAGCGGCTCATCCGCGACGTGGGCCGTCACCGATATGGGTGAGCGGGGAGCAGGGAGAGGTGCGCGCGGACTCTGCACTGCTGTTCCGGGAAGGCAGTGGGGTGTCATTTGAAGGGTACGGCGGCAGACTGGGGTACCTGACAGACTGAGAAAACAGGAGCGGGGCTGAGGAGGGGGCTCCCCGGCTCTTACAAAAGCAGGTGACACGGGGCGCTGCTGCTGCTGTGATCTGGGAAGAGCTTCCTGGGGTCACTGATTGTGTCTCCAGGCAGAAGCCTCTCAGTCAGGGTGGGCCCTGGAGCAGCCAGCTGGAGCACGCTGTCACCCTCCTCCAACCTGCCTGCCTCACGCCACAAGTGACAGGGGCCATCCCCCTCCTAGTGGGAGGACAAGGGTGGGGTCACTGTCCATTAAAAATACACTTCAGTGAAATTATTTATTAATCTTCTGAAAGGGAAAGACTACATTTAGAAGAGAAGGTCCGAAGAAAATGACCAATCAATAAATTTAGCTGTTTAAAATTTAAATATTTTAATGTCAGAAAGGAATCAAAGTATTATTTTGTTTATTTGATTTTTTTTTTTTTGTACCGGGAATTGAACTCAGGACCTTGTGCTTGCCAGGCAGGCGCTTGTGCCGCTGAGCTAAAGGCCCAGCCCTTATTTGATGTTTTGAGAGAGGGTCTTACCCTGTAGCCCAGGCTGGCCTCTAACCCACAGCAATCCTCCTGCCTCAGTCTCCCGAGTGCTGGGATTATAGGTATGGCCCACCACTAAACATCAAAATGTTAAAAGCAAACACCAAAAACAAATATCAAACAAGACAACAAAGGACTCAAGCCCCTACATTTTTAGAATATAACGAATACTTTGGGGCGGGGTGGGAAGAATAAGAATAAGTGGTCTGGCCAGGTATGATGGTGCATATCTATAATCCCACTGCTCTGGAGGCTGAAGCAGGAGGATTGCCTCAAGTTTGAGGTCAACCTGGACTACATAATTCAAGGTCGGCTTGAACTGCATTGTTGGACGGTCTCAAAAAAAAAGTCTGAGGAAAGGGTCACAAACCAGAAGCTTGCAGATGGATACTAGAAGCTTTGCAGCATGGGCTAATAATCAGCAGACTTGTCACTGAAGATGAGGCTTGAAATGCTAAGCTCTCATCAAGTTCATACAAAATCAAATAGTTCCAGAAATGGCAAAAAGGCAGACACTTCTTCACAGGAAAAAAAGGTACAAACTGGACTTTGTAGGAAGTGTTTATTTCTGAAATGTGTGTTAAACTACAAAACTCTTTATGCCCTTTGACCTAGTGATTCCATTTCTGCTCCCAAGGAATCAGTCTTAAATACAACCTGCCTGACACATGGAGATCTTTATTACAGTGTTTTATATAATAACGAAAAAGCAGAAGTAAAGTGCTCGGTGAGAGTTCAGTAAATTATAGTGTGTACCCTTCGATAAAGTGTTAACTAATCATAAAAAGGGTATTTATAAAGATGCTGTTACAGCACGAACAGTTCCTTAGAAAATAAAATATAGGCAGCATAGTTATATATGCAGTATTTACAATGAAATTAAAAAGTGAGCATCAACAACGAATCAGAAAACACCCCGCAGTGTTGTCAGCGGTGCAGCCAGAGTTTCTTTGGTGATGGCTGTTGTTAGTGGCGGTGGTGGTGGTCGGTTGGGATTTCTATCTCCTTTTTCTGTTTCCCACATATTCCCCACTGGGCATGCGTTCCTGCCACAGGAAAGGATGGAACGTGTTGCCTCCTTTCATGCCACAATTCACAGAGGCCTGAGCTCTGAGGTGGGCCTGGCAGCATCACTGACAGGGTCAAGCCCCGGGTAGATCTGGGGCAGCTGTTCCCAGGTCCCGGTGGTCCTGCTTTCCCTCCTCTGCCTCCCACCGATCCCGCCTCTCGTCTGGTTAGCGTCTTCCTCTCCGCCTGTTCAGATGAGGACAGGAAATGGTCTCCCCGCTTCCCATTTGCCCTGTGGGGTCTTCCCAAGTTAATCCTGCTGGGTAGGATCTTCGGGTCCCAGACCCAGAAGTGTACCTTCCTGGCCCCTTCAGGATGAAATCCACACTCCTCAGCCTGACTTCAGAGGTCTCTCACCACCTTCCCCTAAGCCAGCTACCACACCTGCCGCAGAACCGGCTGCAGACAGATCGGTGGATGCCTCCTGCCTCTCTGAGCCTTTGCTTGACCTCTCTTTTCCTCCCACTGCCCACCAGCTCACCGCCCTAAGACCCCTCTGTGTGGGGAAGACGGGGTCTTGAACTACCGTGAAAAGGTTTGCAAGGTGCCGAGGTGCAGAAAGCCCAGAGCCCACCAGCAAATCTGCCCCTTGCCCCCACTAGGATTCAAACTGAGGGTGTCGCTCATACCAGGGGCACACTCTGCCACTGAGCTCTGCCCTCAACCCTGGCAAATCTTAAATCAGGCTACGCTACCACGAAAAGCAGAATGTAAACTAATACATTTCCATAGTCATTCTACACAACAAAATTAGGTTAGACACGGCATGCTGTTATATAAAGGACCTTGACATAGTATAAAGTATGGGATTTCAGCAAGTAAAAATCACTTTATCCTAGATTGAACCTACAGCTAATGGGCAGCTAGTGCATGCAACGTTTAATACGGTGGTGCCTGCCCTCTGTTCAGTGTTAGCTGTCTCAGTAAAAAAGCCCAGCAGCTAGCAGAGCCACTTAGAATCCTTTTACTGCCCTTAGAATGGCAGTGCGAAATTGGCATCGTCCTGTTAAAAATAGCCACTGCAGCCTGTATTTAAAGCCCAAAGGCCTCGTGGAGGGCTTTCAGCATAAACACTTGGAGAAGAAAAATCTGTTCCAGCTCATCTCTCGTGCCCTCCCCTCACCCTCCCTGGCTTTCCTCCCTGAGTGCCTCTTACATCTTCATCTTCCTCGCCACTGACCGCAGCCTGGGAAGAGCAAAGTTTTTACGAACAGGCGGTGGGTGGGGCTGGCTCTCCCTGCGTGATGCAGGCGTCTGTTTACGGTGTGACCTAGGCACGTGGACTTTGGGGCTGGGTCCCAGGGCAGCACCACCCTCTTCTGACTACTGCCATCCTGTACGGTCAGCCTGTTCCAGTTGGATGGGGGTCCTCATGCTGGGAGTTTGGCATCCAGAGTGCAGCCGGAAGTGGGGAGAGAGGGAGTGAGGGTGAATTTCAAGGCATCTTTCATTCATTGCGTGGATCTGAATGGGCAGTACCATGGATCCCAAAGGAAGCGCTCTCTCCTACCTCTCTCCCTTACCTTCGTGCACTTCCTTGCCAGCCAGCCCAAGCACTGAAACACCCTAGAATCTGGGCAGCAGGGGAGGTAATGGCAGTGCTGGGTGAGAGTCACCTTGGTCCACAGTCCACCAAGCACACTGATCCCACCAGGCAGGATGCCACACCAGGTGTTATCAGGATCCCCCAGCCATGCCTGAGCCCCGAGGATAGGGACACCCAGGGCCAAGAGGACAAGGCTACTCCAACCTGAGGACCCTGGTCGGAGGATGGCTGACCCTTCAGACGAGCGTATTGCAGATTCTCCCTGGATGGGGAGGGCCATCCTGAGGAGGGCCCAGAAGGTTCTGCCCAGACACAGTTAAACTGACCAGGCACATTTCAGCAGCCCAGAATAAGAGGTCCTTTGTCATGGCTGCTGTCCTTTGCATCTTCTTGGATGATAACTGGCCCTGCCAAAGCCACCCTCCTTCCTGCCTGCTGACCCTAATCCTGGCCCCTCCATCTGCCTTCCTAGCCACTTAGTCGGTTCCTAGCCAGTGACCCCACTCCTGCCCTGCAGGTTCCAAACCTTCCCTGGCTTCTGGGGATGCCCCTGACTGACCACCTCTCTGGGGTGCCATACTTTTTCCTCTTTGCTAAGCACCAGGCCCCTGGGTATTCTCCTCTGTGGATGTGACCCACTTTGGCCTTGGACACTGACCTTGACTCCCCCCTTGAATAACCTGCCTCATGGGCCTCAGTTCATGCCAGATCCCTTCGGTTCTGCTTTCCTAATTCTTCTGAGCAGAGTGTCCACTGCTGCTGTGGTCTGTAACTGGGAATCTTGCCCCCCTTGTGGCCCAGCTTCTTCCTGACCCGTTCTGCTCCAGATACCCAGGTAGGCCTGCTGGGATTCCCAAACCCGTCCTTACTCTGGGCCCCTTCCAACACCACAACCAAGCAGATCTCTGCTGCTGGTGACCTTCTGACTATAGTCCTGGTGAGTGGACATCACTCCAAGAACCCCATGCTCTAGTTCCCCTGAGAACGCGCCTGCCAGATGGACCACACTCAGGAAGGTGACAGTAAAATAGGACAGACACAGAGCATTGGACTGGGACTTCCTGAAGAGGTCAGGTTCATAATGAAGTCATGCCATCCTGGGTGCCGGATCAGAGCCGGAGAACAGAGGATAATGTGCTCAGAGAACAAGGCTTCAACTTGGTTATGCTTCAGGTTCACTGCTGCTGTAATTTTGATTTCCTATCAAAATTTCCAGGGCTGGTCAGGAGCCAGCACAATCCTCCCTCTGCTCAAAGCTGTTTTTTGCTTACCAGGATATTCTGGGATCTTTTTTGTTGTTGTTGCAAGAAAAGGAAAAGCGATATCTAGGTTTAGGGGCTTGGAAGGCCTAACCACACTGATCCACCCTTGCATTTATTTACCCCAATTAAACTCCGTAAGGTCATGGAGAGGTGGGTGCAGATCTCTTCCCACAAGAAGGTGCCAAGATGCTCTGTGAGAGGAGAGAACGCTGCTGCCCCTGCCCTCTCACTGTGGTCAGCTGCCTGGCAGTGCCCACGTTTCCCACAGGGCTCCAGGCCAGCCTGCCTCCCAGCACTGAGGACTCAGGCTCTGCCCAGTGGCCTGTGCAGATGCAGGTCGGGACCACAAGGCACAGCGGATTTCCTGGTGACTATGAGCGGGCAGGGCAGGGCGTGGGCAGTGCGGGCAGCAGAGAGCCAGCGGTATGTGGCAGGTCCAGAGGAAGGGCAGGCTGGACACTGCTCACCCAGGAGCTCAAAGGCCCCGTGCTGCCCTCGTGTCTGAGAGGCACTCTGGACAAACACACCACCTGCCCCATGCAGGAATGTGCCCAGGACAACTGTCTAGAAACAGTGAATAATAATTTATAATTGTTGGTCCAGTTTCTATAGATTAAAGAAATAAACATTTTATAAAAGTAGAAAGAACAATTTCTAACTATAGAGGCCTTTTTTTTTTTCCTCTTTAATGGTTCCTTGGTGTAGGAGTTAGTACAATGGAACCCGAGAAATAATATCTGATGCTGTGTGTGTGAGTGTGTGTGTGTGTGTGTGTGTGTGTGTGTGTGTGTCCCTTTTGAGGCAGTGTCTTCCTGTGCAATTCAGACTGGCCTTCAAATCACTTTGTAGCCCAGCCTGGCCTCAAACTCACAGTGACCCTCCTGACTCAGGCTCCTGAGTGCTGGGATTACAGGTGTACACCACCGCACCCAGCTATCTGATGCTTGTTTTTAAAAATTCTTAAAAAATGTTACAGCTGCTGTTTCTTATGTGTTTGAATTTGCAAAGTGGGGAGGTCTGAGGCAGTTAGATCACACAGGGTCTGAACTTGGACACCCACTGGCAGCATGGTGGGCCACCTGTCTGGCATCAAGATGGCTCTAGACATGGTCCTAGAGTCATGTTTCTTATGCTTTCCTTTTGCCCAAACTTTAAGGAGAGAAAGAGAGAGAGAGAGAGATAGAGAGAGAGAGAGAGAGAGAGAGAGCCAGCCAATTAAGAATTCTTAACCTTTTGCCTAACATTCAAAGATGGCTATGATTTGATCAAGACATAAAGAAGAACAAATCTTGGTGCTCCTGCTTTGTTGCCTGTATGGCTGGAGCACGGCAGGCAACAGTAACACCTTAAAGGCCCCTTGCAGCTCTGATCCTTTATGCTTCTCCATTCTGGGCCGGAGCAGTAGGCACTATGTAGACACCGGAAGCCGTGGGGGAGTCTCCTTCCCAGCCGCCACCCTGGAGGTCCCACTCTGACACCCCGCTCTCCTGTCTGGTGGTGGGAGTGGGTGGGCCGGGAGCCACGGTGAGGACTGGGCGTGTTCTCCCCAGGTACGTGTGCATCGCCATGGAGGCGCTGGACCAGCTGCTCATGGCCTGCCACTGCCAGAGCATCAACCTCTTCGTGGAGAGTTTCCTCAAGATGGTGGCCAAGCTGCTGGAGTCAGAGAAGCCCAACCTGCAGATCCTCGGCACCAACTCGGTGAGCAACTGGGGCGCCGGGTATCCTGGCGAGGATCTGGGGGAGCGGGGAGGGAAGACCTCTCGGGCTGCTCCTGTTTCATCTCTGACCCTCGGCACTGCAGACTGCCTGCGTCAAGATCCCTTTTTGTGTACCCAAAGGGGTATTGCATTTTTTAAAATATAAATAAATATCATGTAACTTACATATCATTTCTGTAAACCTATAAAAACATAAAACTTCAATAATAGAATTCACTGCCACTCACTGGGTTAAGCATATTTACAAGATCAGATAACCTTCAACATCATCTAACGTGCTTATCTTTAGGCTGACGGTCTTCCAACTTTAATAGGTTTTTCCCTTAAGGAATTTTAAGTGAGGCCCCAGAAAATAGGAAAATAGGTTGACATGGAGGGGCCTTCGAAGCAGTGTCCCAGCGGACAGCCTCTGCAAGGGTCCAGGCTCTGTGTCTTTCGGAGTAAACTGATAACTGCAGATGAGGCTCTGCAGCTGTGGGGAGACTGAGAGCAACCAGGAAGCAGGACTCCGGAGAGGCCTGCCCTGTCCTAGCTGTGAACCCCATGCAGCCGTCTCTCAGCCGCCTCCGTCTTCCCATCCTTTCCGTGGGCAGGTTGCACTTGGTGTCTGTAGGTCCTCCGAGCTGTCTGTTGCTGGTCCCAGTACAAGTGGCTGCTTTCATGGAGGTTCTGATTCATTAAGAAAAGAGATGTCAGGTATGTCAAGAGCTTCCTGAGTCATGTGTGTGTTTATACAACCAAGAATGTGCTAGCTGTGTTCTTTAATTTCTCGTCTTCTCTGAGTGCCTCCCCTTAGGACATACTTTCAGCTCTAATTCTCCAGACCACTAAGATGGACCATTTGCAGGTCTTATCTCTCTGCAGGGAGCTGGAGAAGAGCAGAGGGCTTCTCCATTGGCATTCCAAGCCTGACACTTGTGAATTTTTATTGTCTGGGTCAAGTCTTTCTTCCTGTTCTTCCTATGTTTGTTTCCCCAGGAGGGAGTCTTCTGACTGTTTTTTTCCAAAGCAGAGAGTGACAGCTACTCCCTTCCCGTCTCTCTCCCTGTGCGCCAGCTGCCTCTGACAAATTATATATACAGTAGCTGAGGGCAAAGTCTTTTTGTCAAGTTGCCCTGGCAACAGCTTCAGATACTGTTTTAGTTGTCTTGTTTAAGATAACTACAGTCTAGAGGAAAACATCTGATGGAAAATAAACCAGTCATCACGCACCCATGGGGGACGCAGAAGCAGGTGGCCGCCGGTTCGCTTTTGCCCCACGGCACATCCTAGCCCCGGGTAGGGGTTTTGTTAGCTGCAGTTGGAAATTCAGTGTGCTGTGACCTCCCTTCTCAGTGCATCACTGCGGCGCGGTCAGGGCCCAGGTGCATGAGGGACCGTGTGCTGCAGACTGGAGGCTCTAGAGGGCAGGCTCTCCTAAGTCAAGCCAAATACGGAGATGAAGTGAGACTTCAGCTTGGAAACAGCCTTTCCTCAGATTGCCCTTCTCCTGGATGCTCTTCCAGCCTCCAGGCGGGGCCTCCTGGCCCCTTCCCGAGTGGAGTGTTCTTTGGTTCCTTATCACTTGAGACTTGCTGGTATGCTAGGGCTTCATATAATGTTAGAAAAGTGGGCCTAGGACGGTCAAAAGATCTCACGACGTTTTCGGGCTTGGGGTTTTGTGGGTGCAAAACAGGCTGGGGTGGAGGAACAGAAGGTTCTGGGTCCTGTCCTGCTTCACCCTGCAGTCAGCTTCTTTTATCTGCTTAGATGGACACACGCAGTATGGATAAAATTTTGTGCAAGGAAAAGGAAAGGAAGGAGAGGAGAAAAGGAAAAGAGAAAACACCGAGTTCAACCAAGCCCTCACCTTTCTAGGTTCCTCCGCCTTGAAACGGAGGCCCAGAGAGGTCGGATAAACTGATCCCCAGTTGCGCAGCACCTGTGTTCTCCCCAGACCCGAGAGTGGGCCAGGGCAGTGGCCTCTCTCTCCCCTGCACCAGAGCTCCAGCCTCTGCACAGACCAGACACTCCCTGTGACAGTCTCAGTCCTGAGACTTCGTGGCCTTGTGGCCTTGAGGAGAAGCAGGGGATAAGCCTCGCCCCGTGCCAAACTCCAGCTGCCTGTAGCTTTTTTCCCAAACCTGGGTGAGCTGCCCAGCTCGGCTCAGGACAGATCTCCACGCCACAGGGAATGTCTTCAGCACCCCCGCTGACGGAGTCCTCTGGAAAACCTCTAGAGAGCCAGGTCTCGACCCTGACCCTCTTGGAGGGGCTCAGAAAGCACTGAGTGGTGTCCTGCTGTTAGGGATGCTCAGTGTGACCTGGAGGAGGGTGGTGCCAGTTAGAAATCTGTGGAAGCTGTGCAAAAGGCAGGCTTCCCACCCCACTTCCTCCTGATGGCTTTCTGCTTTGGTGACTAAATCCCGGTCCCTTGTGCCCTTCTCCACATTCTCCTGACTCCCCAACTCCCCCGCCTTTCTCATTCTTCCTAGTTCCTGCAGTGGACTGAGTGACGCTCCCCACAAGGGTGTCCGTGTCCTCATCCTTGGGCCCTGGGAGAGCTGCTGCAGATGACAAAGGGACTTTGCAGACAGGAGTGAGTTAAGGAACTAGAAACGAGGAGAGTCCTGGATTGCCCAGGTGGGCTCAATAGAAGCACGAGGGACCTTAGAAGAGTGGCCCCCAGGAGGACCAGAGTCAGAAAGGGAGTTAATTGTGGGGGCCAAAGGACAGAGAAGAAGAGAATAGAGGTGCTTCGTTGCTGTCCTTGAACACAGATTAAGTCACAAGAGGAAGCCACTGTAGGTGGCTTCTGGGGGCTGGGGAGGAGGGAAACCCCTGCTTCCTGGAGGCTCTCGCTGCCGTGCAGCCCATGTCAGGCTTCTTAGCTCCAGAACTGTGAGATCAGAAGTCTGCGCTGGTTTAAGTGCTAAATCGTGGTCATTCCTTGCAGCAGACTCGAGAAGCTAATACTGTTTGCTTCAGTGATTCTCTTGATGCTCTTGAAAGGTCTGTGACCTCCGAGGCTCTTGTGCTCCACCTTCTCACTCTGCTCCCCTGGATGACATCACCGACTGATTTTACGGTCATCTGTGGACTGGAAATGGTGCAGTGTCCAATGCCAGCCTCTCAGTCAGCGCTGCCGTTACCAGTGGGCAAGAGGCGGGCTCCGTAGCATCAGGTAGCCCAGAACTGCAAGGCCACGGAAACACTCAGGGCAGAGGCTCAGTGCCAGAAAGACAGGGTCTTAGAGGAAGGCAGCCAGGCCATCCCGCAGCCTGTGCTCCCTGACTGCAGGCCTCAGGGCGCGTGGGGCACTCCGGCCAGAGGGAATAGCTTCTCCAGAGTGGCGAGGACTACATATTCCCAGGAGTTCTGAGAACTGCAGCTGCTTTGGCAAAGACCCTCGAAGGAGGGTCAGCCTAATGTTGGTGGATGGGAATTTCTGTGCCTCAGCCAGTGGTCGAGGTTGGCAGTATTGATGACATTATGGGGGTTGTCTCCTGGCTGTAGTGTAAACTGCTCCAAGGAATCCTGGTGAGTCAGAGCAGCGACTGGTGTGGTAGTACACGTCTGTAATCCCAGCACTCTGGGGAGCTAAGGCAAGAGCATCAGGGATTAAAGCCCAGCCTAGGCATCCTAGTGACTTAATGAGACCCTGTCCCAAAATTATAAAGGGCCAAGAAGGCTGAAGATGTAGCTCAATGCAAAGGCCCTGAGTTCAGTGCCCAGTACTATAAAATAAAACAAAAACCAGGACTGCAAGTAAGCAGGCTGGATACAAGTTGAAGCCATGTGCTTTACTGAGTCTGCTTTCCAGCTAGGATTTGCCTTGGTGAAGCAGGGAGCGCTTCCTGTTTCCCCATGCAGTCCTCCAGCTGCGAGAGAGGTGGGCCCCTGTGTCTGCCCGATAGGTTTCCCTGTGGTTCTGTTCCTGGTGGCCCAGAACATCCAGCTGTAGAAGCGGGAAAGGCCAGCTCTCCTCAGAGAGTCTTGGTTGGTGCCAAGGTGCGCCCAGCCTGCTCAGCCTCCTGCTGCAGACCCGGGAGAGCTGTGTGTTCAGTGTCAAAGCTGTGTGGAGCTTGCTTTCTATCCCCCACCGAGTCCCTCAGTCACCCCAGCTTTCACACATCGTGGCTCCTGCTGCCGGCCTGTCCTGGAGGGGAGCCATCCTTTGTTGTATATAGAGAGCTGGAACTTTGATCTTGAACGGGTGGCCCTAGCAGCGCCCATGGCCTTTGAAATGTCACATGTTCAGTATCTGCAGTTGGTTGCTATGGAGACTTTCCTCCTCATTGCTATATCTCGGAAAAAAAACCCTCAACTTTATTCTTTCATGATTTCATGCGTTATGCAACGAGTATTTAAACAAAAGCCATGTGTAAGGTGTGAGTTAGCAAAGGTGCAAGGAAAGCAGGTGGCAAGCTCCTGTGGTTTCATGCATTTTAAAAAAGTAGTAACTGGTCACACAGGTCTAAGCCTGTGAGAGCTCATGGATAGGAAGGCACTGCACGGGGAGCAGCTGTTCTTTGCTAGGCAGGGCTGGTAGAGTCCCGGCCGTGCCAGTCGGGACAAGGCAGGTGCTCTTATGGCCCGCACTTTCCTGATAGGGCAGTGGGGGACTGGAGACTGGAGTGACTGATCCACAGAGGAGCTGAGATCCACACACAGAGCGTGACCCCCGCCCCGCCTCGCACTGCCAGCACCGCACTGCCTTGAAGGGAACGAAGCCCTGACCCTGAAGCCCAGTGCTCAACCACATCGAGGCAGGCTTGGCCCATTTCCCAGGTAGACCGCACAACGGTTGTGGGCTCTTGACCAGGACATCGTGAATCACGGTCACCACACCTCCCATCTGGCCCTTCCTGTTGCCCCCTGGAAGCCGCAGGCGCAGCACGGGGAGGGGAAGTCCAAGAGGGACGCCGTGGGCCAGCACTCCCCAAACAGCTTGTCTAACTGTGCTGCCAGGCTCCGGACTCAGAGGGGAGGTCCTGCCACAGGGCTGCCCGACCTGTCCAGAGCTCCTAAGAGTGCTCTCAGAGCCTGGCACTGAAGGGCATCATTTTGCCACCTTCAGAGTGTGAATGGGGCCCACCCCGGAGTGGCTGGCTCTGCACAGTGTGAACTGCTCCTTTTGCGTGTTGCTGCCGTCTCTGACATACATGGTGGAGCAGGAAGGGAAGCGTGCTGCAGTGGTGCACACCTGGCTGCTCCAGAGGCTGAGGCAGGAGCATCGTGCGCTCAAAGCCATCTTGGGCAACTTAGACCTGGTCAATGGAATTTTAAAGACTGAGGCACAGGCTTAGAATGGCTTTTGCTGATGCAAACTGCAGTGTCTGTGAATAGCTTCCTCGAGGACTCACACCTCTTGTGGCTTTTGAGGACTTCCTACAGAACGAAGCATGGGTTCGGGCAAAGGGAACAGGCATCAGTAAAATGATGCTTGAAATCTGTTTTTCAGATCAAGTGGGTGGGGTAGGGCGGACAGCGGAGCCCCAGGCGTGCTCTGAGTAGCGCGCTGCTTTCCCTGGAGGGCTCAGCATGCATCCGTGCACCTCTGCGGTAAGTGCTGCTGTTCAGTCCTGCGTGGTGCTGCGGCGGGAAGGGGCCGAGAAACGGGAACCTTGGGAAATGGAACCTCACTAATAACACGCATCCAATCCACCCAGCTCCTGTTATTCAGGACTCAGGGAGTCTCTACTACCTGTTCCTAAGAGGCGACATATCCACTAATGAGATGACAGCAGGGCCAGCCACTTCCTGCTGATTTCAAAGCCGTGGCTGCTGGATCCTGTTGTGCTAGATGACCTCCAGCCTTTCTATGGTGCTCCTGGGGGTGTGTTGTCACCTTTCAACCCCAGCCCTTGGCCTCTGTCCTCACTCCATACCTCATTGGCACCTGTCACCCCTTTCTATGGTGCAGGCTCCTTATTGGGGCTCCTGGCTTAGTGCTCTGCAAAGGACAAGGGTCAGACCACACCTGTCCTAGCCCAGAGCTGATGGAGCTGACCCTAAGTGACTACATGGTCATCATGAGATTGTGGCACTGTTTCCTAAGCGTGCCTGCATCGCTCTGCCACGTGTGTGACCACCCGACAACAGAGGTCCTCATGTGCCACACTCTGCACAGCTTCTCTCCAGTCACCCACTGACAAGGCAGAGGAAGTGACCGTGTGGCTGTGGGTTGGAGCATAAACCTCCACCAGGTCAAAGCCAGCCATGAAAAGAAGGCTTGAAACTGTGTTTCTAGGGAGAAGCACAGAAGAGCAAACTCCTTCCAGGGATGTAGCTCAGCAGCACAAGCACCAGCCTGGCAAGTGCAAGGTCCTGAGTTCAATTCCCAGTACCAAAAAAAAAAAAAAAAAAACACAAGAGCAAAACTTGAGGGACACAGTCCCAAGAGAAAAAATGAAGGTGTTTTTGCAGGGTTGGCCACTGTGGTAGCCCAGCTGAGATACAGACAGAAGAAACTGCCAGGAGAGGGCCGTGGATGCTTGAAAAAGGACTCCCTACGCCTGTGTGGCGCCTGCATTCCCTCACTGTTGACAAGGAACTTTCTAATGAAATGGATTTAAAAAGGAAAAAATGTGGATTTTAATCTTAGTCCTAACTCTGAAGCTGGGGTAATAGCTGAAATACTGATGTGCTGGACAGCACAGAAATGGTCCGTCAGGGCAGATGCTGGGCAGGCTTCCATCCTGCAGGGCCCCCCTGGCCCCCGAGGAAGAGGAAAGTCAAAGCTGACGGTGATGGGGCCGTGGTGCCACTGCTCCCCCAAGTCCAGGATTGGGGTCCTGACCAGCATCCGTGGGCCAGACTGAGGTGGACAGAAGGAGCCCTGCCTGCCGTGGTTCTCTAGTGGGCTGTGGGCTATGCAGGTCAGTGGCCCCCACCCTGCTGTACCGCAGCCGCTGGGTAAGACCGGAAGGTCACCTTTGCAGGGTGAGGTCACTTCCTCTGCTCTCAGATTTTCCCTAACAATATCACACCCCACTCCCCGGGTTGGGGTGCTGCTAGGTCTGCGGTGCTGCAGGATGCACAGGGCAGGGACAGAGACCGGGAGAAGCTCATGCCTTTTCGAAGTCCCTCCCCAGGCCCTGGCACACTCCTTCCCTCCATGCTCTGTACTGGGAGGCTGCCTGCTTCCGATTCCCCTGGCTTACATCACGTAGCACGATGTCTTCTGGGTTTGTCTGCATTGTCAGAAGTGACAGGACCTCCTTCTTTAAATCAGAATCATATTCCCGTACGCCATGCGTGACATATGACAGTGGACAATTAGATTGTTTCCGTAGCTCGGCTACCTTAAATCTCACCACAAGAAAATACAAAGGGAACAAGGGATAAAGGAGGGAAGGGAAGGGAAAGAGGAGAAGGGAAAAGTGGTGGATGCGTGGGAGGCGATGTATTAACTAGCTTGATGTTGGTGATTATTTTACAGACAGTATGTGTGTGGAGACATTAGTTGTATACCTGAAATGCACGGGTTTTTATTTTCACTACACCTCAGTGAAGCAAAATGAACTCCAGGAGGCTGGGCTTTTAGGAGGCTGCCGGAAAAGCCTGCAGCAGCAGGTGCAGGGCTGAGGCAGACACCTCCTGCCGGACTGAGCTGGGTGCTGGGAGTTGTAGGTCTTGTGCCTTTGTAGGATGAGAAAATCATCTCTCTCTAGGAAGTGAAAGAAATGGTGTGTGTAAACTGCTTAAGGTCATTCCTGACACTCGAGAAGTTTCTTACATCTCCTTAGTTGTTAATCACAAACCCTCAACCACTGGACGTAAAGTTTGGTCATTTGTTCTCCTGACATTCACTTTAGATGAAGTCTTTGACTTTTTTTCCCTCTTTACTGTTGAATTTTTAAAAAATCTTTTTCATTCCAAAACGTGTACACAGGAAGTCTGACTTTAAGCTGCCTCATCGTATTAGTAACTGATTGTTTAAAAGCCTTAAAAGAATCCAGGTATGGTGGTGCACGCCTGTAATCCCAGCACTCAAGAGGCTGAGGCAGGAGGATCGCCACAAGTTTGAGGCCAGCCTGAGCTGCAAAGTTGAGTTCAAAGCCAGCCTGAACTGCAGAGCGAAACTCTATCTCAACAAAACACACAAACAAATGCTGCTCATTTTACACGTGGGAAAGCCAAAATATAAAACATTGAGTGTCCCACCCGCAGGACACACCACCTGTTAAGGGTAGAGTTGCTGGCGGACTCTGTCTGTGTGTCCCCTGGGTCTGGGCCACACCTTGCCAGGTCTAGGCTGCACACATGCAGGAGGTACTGCCCGGGGAGCCCAGTGCTGCTAGCTGTGGCTCAGGAAGGCTGGGCCACCCAAGGCCTGTTTCCCCTTGGTTCTGAAATTCCTGGACTTGTGGATAATCAGTGATCCTGTGACCACATGAGTGACCACCATGCCTGTCTTCTGATTCGCCACATCAACAATGCCAGCAGTGTCATTTGGACTTGTTAACATCAGAACATTGGGTCTCAACTATACATATATGCATTTTACACGTAGCTTGGAAGAAAGATTTCTTGGTCTACTTTGTATTTTTGTTGTTTTGTTTTTGAGACAGTCTCACTATATAGCCCAGGTTGGCTTTGAACTCACGATGTAGTCCAGGCTGGCCTCAAACTCACAGTGATCCTCTTGTCTTAGCCCCCCAAGTGCTGGGGTACAGGCATGTGCCACCCTGCCCAGCTGCTCTGCTTTGTATTCTGACATCCTTCCCGTCAGCAGAAAATAGCTGTGTACTTATTGTGTGCAAGAATAATAATCTAGAATAATTAATGGTGCTTTGGGAAGCTGCTAATTTTCACCCAGAAAAAGTTAATGATTTTTTATTGGGACATAGATTGACAACACTGAATATTATGAAATATCCTAGCTAGATTTTTGGGGGGATAGTATATCCCTTTTAAATCAGCACACATTTGGAAAAAATAAATGATAATACAGGGCAAAATAATGGAGAATATACTTTATGCAATCTTTATAGAGTCATTTGGGGCAATAAATTTATGCCATTAAACAAAACAACTTGTATTAATTATATTAAAATTTCAGTAATTTCCTCCAACTAGTCCATGATGCCTGCTTCTCTCAGCAAGATTTAGTTGAAATTAAGTCTCTATTTAGAATTGTAAACGTGCGGCACCGTGGAACCCGCAGTGCTGATTGAGGCTTACTGAAGTGAAACGGCACACTTTTCCCATTTACCCAGGTTTCCAACACAAAGTGCAATTACACCTTTCTAATCAAATTTTAGATTTGTTCTTGCATCGCAGCATTCATCGGTGCTCCGGGCCTTAACCTTGTGTTTTGCACAGTTTCAGTGTTATTATTCCCAATAGCTTCCCGGCCGTGGGGGTTTGCCCTCCTTAGGGGGAAGAGGAAACCCCTCATCATCCCTCCCCTGCTTCCCTCCCCCGGAAGGCCCCTGTAGGAGCGCTGAGCAGGAAGGCCACAGGAGCTGATCCGGGGCACGTGGTCCCGTGGTGCGTGGTCCCGTGGCTCGCCGTGGCAGCCAAATGGGGACACTTGGAGTGAGGGTACCAGGTGACCATCACACTGTCCTCTCCCTCCACACCGCAGTTCGTTAAGTTCGCCAACATCGAGGAGGACACGCCATCCTATCATCGGAGCTATGACTTCTTCGTGTCCCGGTTCAGTGAAATGTGCCACTCGAGCCACGATGACTTGGAAATCAAGACAAAGTAAGTGCAGGAGGGCGAGGAGCCTGCTTGGCTCCTGGGGAAGCCAAGGTCTTGGAAAATAACCTGTCTTAGGCGGCATGGTGGTGCACAGCTGTCATCCCCGCACTCTGGGAAGCTGAGGCAGGAGGATCAGAAGGGCAAGCTCAAACTGGGCCAATTAGCCACTTAGCAAGACCCTGCCTCAAAGTGAAAAGGGAGCCCAGGGTGTGCCAGCTCCTTGTGGAGGCTCCTCCCCAGGCTGAGACAGTGGGTGGACGTGTGGGCACTGCTGTGCTCCCAGCTCATGGCTCCCAGGGAAAAGCCCTTGTGGTCAGAAAACAAGACGCACGGTAGCAGCCCCTGAAAGCCACGGACAGAACGCACACGCACGCCTCAGAGGGGCACGCACTTTCCCAGCAGAAGCAGCCATCGTCCACATTACATGGCGAAATCTGCACCCCAAGATGGAGCCAGGCCCTCACTGCCACCTCCGTCCCTCGCCTCCTCCCGCTGGCTCACTCCCTCCAGCCAGGATGGCCTCAAACAGGGCAGGGACACTCCTGTCCCCAGGCCTCTGCAGTCCTACATCCTGCCCCCCACCTCCTCCACCCCATCACACTCATAGCCTGTCAAAAGGCTTCCTAATTTTCTTAGGTTTTTAAATTACCATTATTATTACTATTTTTGGTTGCATCAGGACCTTTACACACAGCCTTTTTTTAGTATTTTATTTTGAGACAGGGTCTTGCTAAATTGCCCAGGCTGGTCTCAAACTTGTGAACCTCCTGCCTCAGCCTCCCAGAAAGCTGGAATTATAGGCTTGTGCCACCGCACCTGACTCTGCTTCCTGTTGATTGTCTCTCCCACTAGAATGCAAGCACTAGAAGGTCAGGAGTCATTTTGTGCCGATTCAGCTCTGAGGACAGCAGACACTGGACATGTATTTGTTGAGTGAATGACTGAGAGCTTTCAGATAAACATTTTGAGTTAGAGAAAACGCTTCCATGCCCACATGCTCAAGTTGTCAAAATGCTTAACTCACAGAACCATACTCATCCACACAGAAATATAGCCTCTCAGGTAAACCCACAAAGTCCTGAGACGATGCTTCCTGACCTATAGCCAAGCATGGCAAACAGAGCAGTGTGCAATGCCTTTGAGCTCAGGCCCGGACAGCCTCTGACCTAGGGCCTGGTGGGGTCGTGGTGTTTCCCCAGGAATCACTCCCTGTCTGTGGCCAATAGGCCTCGGGGTCCTTCCAGGCACTGTGAGGCTCCTGCTACCCCGTGACAGTCACCTGGTAAGGCCCAGGGTCACATCCAGGTCACCCCACTCAAACGGAAGCTGAAAATACAACTGACAATTACACACTCAGAGAAACTGCTCAGCGTGACTCATCACCTAAAGGATGTGAACTGAAATAGCCACACGATGTGAGGGTTTTTCTGAGCCATAAAACAAGAGCAGATATTAAGACGCAAGCCCGGTGCTGCTGCAGGGACAGCAGGACAGCAGGACAGTGGGACGGTGGGATGGTACACTGTGTCGTTTGTGCTTGGGCCCAGGTAACCTGGTAATAGCGGGAGCTGTTCATTTGTACCTTTTGATTCATTGATTCCATGCATGGAAGCGACTCACAGATGTAGTGGAATATTTTATACAGTGGTGTCCACATAACATTATTGTAATGGCAGAAAAATTATAAGCAGTTTGAAAAACTTGTCAGGTCCCGGTTTAGGAAGTTCTTATGATAGTGTATCATATAATCATTTAATGTGTTTATGAAGGCTAATAATATTTTTTAAAAGGTGCTTAGATTGTTATGTGGGGGGAGCCAATATAAATTAGACATGCAATTAGAATTATTAATTCTGATAGTCATTATGTTTAGAAGAAAAGAAAGCTGCAGTGGGGTGGTGGCACAGCCTATATAATCTCAGCTACTCCGGAGGCTGAGGCAAGATCACAAGTTCAAAGCCAGCTTGGGCAATCTAGTGAGATCCTGTCTCAAAATAAAAAGGGCTGGGCCAGCATTCTGGAAGGCCAAGGCATGAAGATAGTGAGTTGAAGCCTAACCTGTACAATTTAGCAGGATTCTACCTAAAAAAAAAAAATAAGTTAAAACAGCCAGTGAGGGGGTGACTCAGTGCAGAGGCCTGGGGTTCAGTCTCTGTTAGCTCCCTCCTTCCCCACAAAAACTAAAGGCCTGGGTTTGCAGCACTCCAACTGCCAATTACGTCATCTCTGAGTATAATAAGCATGTAAGGGTTAAAATTTTTGTTTAAAAAAAGAGGATAAAAGGAACTTTAGGCTGAAATAAAAGGCCAATAAAGGGGACTCTTTCCCACAGGCCCTCACAGTAGGGCCTGGCGTAGGGAACCCGCGCCCCATCCCCTGGGTTGTTACTGGATCTCCCCTGGCTCCTTGGCCACTTAGCTCAGCTCTGGCCCTCTGTGCCCACAGAGCCTGCAGCCCAGCGCCTCCCTGCAGCCACCCTGCCCTAGCTGCTCCCCGCCTGGCCTCTGCCTCCCGAGGGCCCTGCAGCACTGGGGGGTCTGCTGGCCTGGCCAAGCACTAATGAGGGTCCCTCCTTCTAACTCACTAATTGCCCTGGGCTTGAACATGAAGGGGATGGGGCCAGGGTGGACCAGGGCAAGGGCAGCCTGGGGGTCACTGAGATGGGTCAGAAGACTTGGCTCCCTGGGCGCTGGCCACCTACACAGAACACTGACCAGCAGGTCCTGTTCCTCAGGGCGGGCAGTCTCCCTCTGCCTTGGATGGACAGTGTGTCCCCAGCCCCTGCCCTGCGCTCCTGGCCTCAGAAGCAGCTCTTCATCCTGTCTCTCCTTACAGAATCCGAATGTCGGGCATCAAAGGTCTACAGGGGGTGGTCAGGAAGACGGTGAACGATGAACTGCAGGCCAATATCTGGGACCCGCAGCACATGGACAAGATCGTCCCCTCGCTGCTTTTCAACCTGCAGCACGTGGAGGAGGCAGAGAGGTGAGCGAGCTGGACAGGAGCCACCGAGTCTGCTGCCAGCCTCACGGCTTGGCCAGAAGGCAAAACCAGGACATGGCCTGCAGTCGTGCCTTCGTGGCCTCTTCTGCCAGGAGTCAAAGCCGGCTCCCGGGAACCTAGGGTCGGCCGTCTGCTGGCTGCTGTCCCCCTGCGCCTCTGTGATAGTGCAGGGGACAGTAACAATGCTGCCCTCCCTGGGGGCAGGTGTGCTACCCGGACACAAAGGGCACACAAAGGACAAGAGTTGGGTTCCTTTGTCTCTCAAGTAGCAGGCCGGGGAGGCTTGAAGTATGCTGGAGGCTCCCCTGCGTGAGAGCTTCCCCTTTGGAGCGCCCTCACGTCCCAATTCTATTTCAGGCCCACTCAGCAGGGTGTGCGGCTGCATGCCTGTAATCCCAACACCCTGGGAGGCTGAGGCAGGAGGATGACAAATTCAAGCCCAAGGCAATTAGTGAGTTAGAAAGAGAGACCCTGGCTGAACACATAAAATGCCTTTTTAAAGAGGTTGGGGATGTAGCTCACTGCAGTGCAGATGCACTGGGTTCGATCCCTAGTACCACAAACAAAGGCCCATGCCTGATCAGCCACAGCCACCCAGTGTTTCAGATAAGTGGGATTTAAACTGGGAATCACGTTGCTGCCTCGCCTTGGCTGTGCTGGGTAAAGATGCGTCCAGCCTCTGCTTTCTGGCTGCTTCCCGGGTGAGACTGGCAGGGGAGGTGGTGTGCCCCCTAGTGGCTGTTTCCGGAATCGCGGCCACTGACGCGTTCTCCTTGCAGGTTCAGGGGGTCTTGGGGCAGGGAGCCCTGAGGCCTCCCCGTTAGTATGAGGATCCACTCATTGTGACTTAGGTGCCATTTAAGTACGCAGAAACACTCATGGTCAGTGCCTCCCGGCCCGTGGTGCTCAGAAGCACCTCTACAGAGGCACATCAGGATTTCCAGGAAAGGAATTCTATCCCATCTCCCCCAGTCTTCCGCCACTCTGGGCTTCCTTCTGCTGTGCAGTTTCTGATGGCCGTGACATCCGCCCATTGCCTGGTGCTGGCTGCATCAAGTTCCTGCGTGTCCTGATGTCATTCCTATGGAGGAAGCACAGAAACCCAGGGGTGCACAAAGCCTGACGCCCAGCATCGCATGCCCTTTTACCCATGTGGCTCTGTTTCCACAGCCGGTCTCCCTCACCCCTCCAAGCACCAGAGAAGGAGAAGGAGAACCCGGCAGAGCTGGCAGAGAGGTGCCTGAGGGAGCTGCTGGGCCGGGCAGCCTTCGGCAACATCAAAAACGCCATCAAGCCCGTTCTCATGTGAGCTGAGTGGCCCTGCCCCTCCCAGCCCTCAGCCTTGGAATATCCCAGGCCTGGCATCTTCCAACTGCTTGGGCAGGGAGAAGGAGAGGGCACCATCACGATGCCACGGCCAAGTCCGTCCCTTTTTGGTGCTGTGTTCCCTGCATTGTGGCAGCAAAGCCATAACTGGCGGCACATGGGGAGCTGACGGGAGGGCACCCAGTGGGGAGTGCAGGTGCCCAGCCATCCCCCATGTCCCTGTCCAGCTCTGGGGCTGGGGTTCTCCTTCCCCATCACCTCTGCCTTACAGCCCACCTCCCTTCCCTGGGGACAGCCAGGGGCCCTCAGGAGTTCATCTCTGCTCTGCAAGCTTCTCCCTAACATCACCCTGATGTCCTCCACCCCACAGCCATCTGGATAACCACTCCCTGTGGGAACCCAAGGTGTTCGCCATCCGCTGCTTCAAAATCATCATGTACTCCATTCAGGTAAGTGACCCTCCTCCCCGCTTGTCCTCCTTGGCACAGCGCATGCGGAGGAGAACAGTCCCTCAGGGTGAAAGCTGGCTGTCTTCTGAGCTTTGCTAACTCCTCCTGGTCTGCACTGTGGCCGCTTGGGCCACCCGTGGTGAAGGGCCAGTTCAGTTTCATAGTACGTCGTAGTCGACTTAATAGTTTTACAAAATGTGACGAAAAAGGAGTCTTAGAAAAAGTAAATGAAGAACTCACTCAGAATACAAGCTTACAGATCGTTGGCCTGGCCTCTGTGACGGTGTCACGTTAGGACACACGCAGGCTCCATTTCCATGCTACCTTGCTGTGTACAGTGTCATAGGAGCTTACATTGTCTCTGGGCCAGGGGAAATGGAAAACAAAATATTTTTAAATGGGCGTTAAAGTGAAAGAGACCGGGAAAATGTGAAGGGCTGGTCTTCACTGGTGTCTGGCTGTCCTCGATGGTCCAGGATAGAGGGCGGCAAGAGAGGAACCCTGGGACCGGCGCCACCCAGTGTCCCCAGGCCTCTGGCAGCTTCCGTACTCCAGCGGCCGGGTCCCAGGAGAGGCCGCCTGGCCACGCGGGGGTTGGTGTTTGGGGACCAGCGTGTCTTCCTCCCCCCAGCCGCAGCACTCCCACCTGGTTATCCAGCAGCTCCTGAGCCACCTGGATGCCAACAGCCGCAGCGCGGCGACGGTGCGCGCGGGCATCGTGGAGGTCCTGTCGGAAGCTGCGGTCATCGCCGCCACCGGCTCTGTGGGTAAGGGGCCCCGAGCGAACGAGGGCCGGCGGGCCGGGCCCTGTGCCAGGGCACTGCCCTGCAGAAGCGCAGGGCGAGAGGCCGCTCTGATTGGGGGCCTCCCATCCCGCTGCCCCAGGGCCCACGGTGCTGGAGATGTTTAACACGCTGCTGAGGCAGCTGCGGCTCAGCATCGACTACGCGCTGACGGGGAGCTACGATGGGGCGCTGAGCCTGGGCACCAAGATCATCAAGGAGCACGAGGAGCGCATGTTCCAGGAGGCCGTCATCAAGACCATCGGTGCGGGGGCGGGGCCGGAGGGTCGGGGGAGGGGCTTATGATGGGCGTGGCCCTAGGCGGGGTCTGGTTTGGTGGTGGGCGGGGCCAGAGGGTCGAGGGAGGGGCTGGTGGTGGGCGGGGCCAGAGGGTCGAGGGAGGGGCTGGTGGTGGGCGGGACCCCAGGGGTGGGGAGGAACTGGACAGGGAGACCCGTTTGCCAGGAGGCCTCGGTTGTAGTTCCTGTGTCATTCAGGGACACTGAGGAATACAGTCAGCCATCATATCTATGCCCTGGCCCAGGCAGGCCCGGGGCGAGAACACAAAATAGGCTGGACAGGTTTCCTAGCCTGGGCTTCTGGTCAGAGACGCAACTCTTTCCGCCCACCTTACACCCACCTCCTGCTTTGGGGACTAAAGAGGAGGAGGGCGAGGGGGCCACAGGGAAACTGCGTGTGCGCCTGTCTCTGCCTAGCGTGGGTCCTTGCTGTAGTAAAAAGGAAAACTCTGAAGCACTAAAGTACACGCTGAGAGGCCACGTCGTTAACCGGAAGCGAGAGGGCTCCGCTTTGCACAGTAGCTGGAGGGCATTACAAGGGGGTTCAAACTGGTGTGCACCCCACAGCAGAGTGCTGTTTCCTCGGCTGCTGCGGTAGATTCGGGTCCATCTCAGCCTTGATTTTGTGGCCCCAGGGGAGCCCTCCCGGCTTGAGGATGGCTCTGGGCTCTGTTTCTGGCCGTCTGTCACCTGAGGCTCTGCCCTTCCCAGGACTCCAGTAACTACTGGCTCAGGACAGTAGCTGGAGACTTTCAAAACTCTCTCCTCAATGGGCAGTTGAAATTCAGAGCTAAGGCTGGGTGTCCTGGGAATCCTAAATATCACTTTGTTTTTTTTTTATTAATGCTGGGGATTGAACTCTCAACCTTGTTCTTACCAGACAAGTGCTTAGGCGCTGAGCTAAAGCCCCAGCCCCTAAACATCACTCTTATCATGGTGCTAAATCTTGAAGGAGGATGGGTCAGGCTAGGTAAGCTTAAGGCCAGTTAGCTGCTCTGTGACAATTTTAAAATATTGAAATGCCAGTATCCCGAGGTTTAAGGCGAAGGATACAGATTGAAGGTGAAGCCTTATTCTGCTTTAGTTACCTATTGGGCATTTGCAGGCCCAAGTGAAGAGTCAAGGGTTTTAGTAAAAACTACTGTTGAGTCTGCCTCAGAAGAGAGCACAAATCGTGGTTTCAGTGAGTAACAGGTCAATGCCCAGGAGTTATTTTGCTTCTTGTCACTATGGCGGTCTCCTGAGTTCATCAAAGTAGTCCCAAAAGTGTGTGAGGAGCTCATCACCTCAGAGCGTTCCTGCCCGGAGCCTCCCTCCAATTGGAGAAGGCGGCAGGGCAGGATTGATTCCGTCCGGAGCTGCGCTGAGGCAGAGCCTGCCCCAGGGAACCAGCCTGCAGCAGAAACAGGGCCCGGCGGGTAAAGGAGCCCCTGCCCTGTCCCGTGCCCATCATCTCCATCCTCCCTTCTCCAGTAAAGGAGCTTAGGCCTGAAGCACAGGAAGGGACAAACCAGGAGCTGAAAGGGAGCTCTGGCCTCTTCCTGCAGAGGCCACTCACACGTACACCACCTCCCCAGCCAGCTCCTCTTGGTCCACCCAACTCGATGACCTGCTCCACTGAGCCAGGAGCAACCCCAAGGCTGTAGGCCTCCTCACCAGGGCCGTCATTCTGCGCCCCTCTGCCCACAGGCTCCTTTGCCAGCACGCTGCCCACCTACCAGCGCTCCGAGGTGATCCTCTTCATAATGAGCAAGGTGCCGCTGCCCTCCCTGCACCATGTGGTGGACTCCGGCAGGACAGGGTGAGCTTCCTTCCCGCTCTGCTCCGCTCCTGGGTTTCCTGCTCTCACTTGCTGAAGGTTCAGCTCTCTCTTCCCTCCTTTCACTGCCCAATTCCTCAGCAGCAGTTGGGACCCTCAGATCCCACAGAACCCCTTCAGGGAGCCCTTAATTCCTTGATGTGCTTCCTGTTCTGGCAGTCATGGTCCTGGGTAGCAGAGATCAGCCTCATGGAGAGAACCAAGTGGGCGGTGTGGGGTCTGCACTGCATCTCCAGCCTGGTGAGTGTGTGCGTCTCTGGTCCGCAGGGAGAACAGGAACCGGCTGACCCAAATTATGCTGCTGAAATCCCTCCTTCAGGTGAGTTCATCCTATTCCTGCTCTGCCTCTGCAGGACACAGCGCTGTCCCAGAAACTAAAGAAGACCACCGTGTCCAGTTGTTCAAGTCACACCCTGTATGTCCAGCCTACGGGATGAGTGAGGCTGAAGCCCACTAGCCAGGTTGGCTCCACCAAACTAGGGGTCAACTGGAGCAGGGCAAATGCCTTGTCTAGTTCCACAAAGGTGGTTTTTTTTTTTTTGGTTTTTTGGTTTTTTTGCTACTGATAACCCTGTCACCTCAGCAGGGTGTTCTTGAGATGGAATCTCTGATTCCTACCTTTTTCTGGTACCTTCCTGGATCCTGTGTCCCTTAGTTTCCTGTTTCTTCCTTGGCATTTGTGTGTGTTGCATCTCCCAGCCACCACCTTTTCCCTCAGCAGCAGTTTATATGGCTTTGTTTTGTTTCTTTTTTTTCTTTCTTCCGAGTACGGAGGGTCACATCTGAACTACACCTCCCTCCCTGATTTGCTTATTTAATTATTTATATTTTGCAAAGCTGCTGACTTGCCCAGGCAGAACTCAAACTTGTGATCCTTCTGCCTCAGCCTCCTGGATACTGAGATACGGGGATGTGCCAGTGTGGCCAGCTCGTCTGCTTTTCTGTCCATCCCTGTAGCCAATCCTGGAGCCCTGACCCAGTCTCCTTAAAGACCACTTCCGTGGCCGGCGGCTCCCCAGAGACCGTGAGCAGGGTTTTATGGCGCTCTCCTTAGGCCTCTCCGCCCAGCCATGGCCCGGCTCTGGGCGTCTCACAGCTAGATCAATCTCACCATCACTCTTTCCAGCTATTAAATGCAGCCATAGACGTTGTCTCAGGTACTTGTTACTCATTGGTGAGACAAAATACCCGACACCCAAAATGAAGGAAGGAAAGGATTATTTCTTACAGTTCTTGGAGGTTTCAGTCTATACTTGATTGGCTCCAAGGCAGGGTGGCATGGTGGGCCCCAGTCCATGGCAGCCGCAAACTATAAGGGCAAACTGGCAAGAGAGAGAGACTGACCTTCTCCCCGCTGCTATATCACATCCTGGCTCCACCTCTGGGCGGGTGAAACACTCACACCACCAATCCAAGTGCTGGACAGTGAACCAATCATATACGCTAGATTTGGTCCCATCCATAATTCCACGAGGCTTGGGGGCCACTGACACAAACCATGACAGAGGTTTTCTAGAGATGCTGTTTCCAAGCATCGCCCCTCATCACAGTAGATCACAGTTGTCCATGCAAGATTTGGAGGCTCCCTGTGCCCCTTCCCTCCCCAGCCCCTACCTCCACCCCCCCCACCCCCCATCTCTGTCCCATCCACCTCAGCCTGGGCAGACTCCCCAAGCCCATGCAGATATTTTTTTCCCCTTTAACCGGCCTTCACCCTTCATGTTACTGTATTTTACAAAGCTCTCACACTGCCTGCACCGAATAATAAAGTAGCCTCCTTAGATCTTCACATTCCTGCCATAGCATTGCCCAGTTTACCTTCATTAATTTGTGCTTGGCACCTCATGGAGGTGACAGTTTGGGTGCACTCACATACTTCCCCCTTCAATGAACACATATATTCTCCACCAGTGCTCAGGCTGGGCCAGGCCCTTAGGCGCTCCACATCCGTGGCATTGTCCTGCAGTGTGGACTGAGCAGGAATGCTGTCCTGCTGCTGTTGAATGCTTTGACATCATATACGATATGTCCGTTTGTGCCAGCTGACTTTAGTCCGAGGCCATCATCATCACCAAACTAGGAGAGACCCATCCAAAGGCAGGGAGTGGACAGGTACTTGCTTACACCCAGATTCTGCTGGCTGTTTCTGACTGCACCCAACAAGGATGTGTCCCTAATCACACCTGTGCTGGGCTCCCTGCAGGTGTCCACAGGTTTCCAGTGCAGCAACATGATGTCAGCCCTGCCCAGCAACTTTCTGGACCGCCTTCTCTCCACTGCTCTCATGGAGGATGCCGAAATCCGCCTCTTTGTTCTGGAGATTCTCATCAGTTTCATTGATCGTCATGGCAACCGCCACAAGTTCTCTACCATCAGGTGTGGGGGGGTCTCGCCTGTACTTGCATGATGGGGGAGAAGACTCCCGAAAGGGCTTGTCTCCTTGGCCAGTAGCCTGTCACCAGGTGGAAGGGCAGTTTGTATAGTCAGGGTGGCCCCAGCATTGACCTCGGAATCCTGCTGGGAGGACACTGAAGGCCTAGCATGGCTGGGGCGGGGTGCAGACTGGAGGTTTGAGAGGTGAAAGGGAAGGGGTAAGGAGAGTGTTCAGGGCGGGGAAGGGCTGTAGTGCTACCAGGGGAGACTAAGAGAAGTTGGGGGGCATAAAGGGAAGAAGAGAAAAATCAGGCTCAAAGATTTGAGAGGCAGGAACGGGAAGCTGAGGATGTGGGAGGCAATGGAGACCGGGCTGAGAACCAGGGCCGGAGCACGCAGGGTCTTCAGGGTTAAACCCAGTGACACCGCGTGAGCTCGGGATGAGCTCTCCCAGGGGCTAAGGCGTCCCTTCCAACCCCGCTAGTACCCTCAGTGACATCTCAGTCCTGAAGCTCAAAGTGGACAAGTGCTCCCGACAGGACACCGTCTTCATGAAGAAGGTAACCAGTGAGCCCCAAGCAGGCCAGGCCGGTGGGCCCAACCTTCCTGTCCCCAGCTCACTGCTGACCGCTGTCCCCAGGGCCTGCCCTAGGTGTGGTCTGGTAGCCAGCACCCCAGCCTGCCCCACCCACACCCCTGATGTGGAGTCCACAGAGATCGCCCTGCCGGTCCCTGGCTACTGATTACATGCTGTTCCTACTGCCGGGGTTACTGGGCCCATCCGTCCCTTACCACGCGGATTCGCTTCCCCTGGGGTCTGCCCGGTGTGACTGTCCTCTGCCCCGCGTCACCACAGCACTCGCAGCAGCTGTACAGGCACATCTACCTGAGCTGCAAGGAGGACACGAACGTGCAGAAGCACTACGAGGCGCTCTACGGCCTGCTGGCGCTCATCAGCATCGAGCTGGCCAACGAGGAGGTGGTGGTGGACCTCATCCGCCTGGTGCTGGCCGTGCAGGTGGGCCCCGGGTGGCAGCACCCAGGCAGGCAGCAGGCTCACGGACAGGGCCTGTCCTGGCCAAGTGCTGGTCAAGTGTGGAGTAGCAGCCGTTCCGCAGTTGTTGGGGAGCCCGGGAATGCTGTATGCTTGGTTGACCATGGATCTGGGAAGATCCCCCTGGCCTTGTCTGGGGAACCCAGAGAGTGATTAATTCTAGACTGTGGTTCACTTTCAGTTTAAAGAAGACCTTGTAATGGGGTCACTCAGAAATACCCCTAAACTCCTACAGTCTCAAGACTGAGTAAAAGAGAGAATTTGAGTGATTTCAAAACAAACTTGTTGAAAGACTTTCTGGTTCTCAAACGTAGCTGTTCTGTAGAATTGCAGTGTTAATCAGACCATACTTATTCTCAGACTGCTAAGTGAGCCTCCCAAGGGGAGACTGTGTATATTTAACCAGTCCCCTGCAGGGTACATAGCTGCACTGTGGTGCTGGGCAGGGCCTGGGATTTTTAAGATCTGCCTTGGTGAAGTATAATCCCAAAGGAGTTGGGGTCAGTCCTTAGACCTCTCAGGCTGGGGCCTCCAGGTCTGAAGCCAGGTGGGCTCCATATCCCGGAAGCGTGGCAAGTTTGGGAATTTGTCGGGGGCAGGTCTCAGACCACCTGTTCAGCAATGCTGAGTTCTGCAGGCAGGGGTGACCTAGACATAACAGCTCGCTTGATTCTGTTTACCCCAGAGAGGCAGAAGTTTGGATTCCTTTGTGTCCCACAAAGGACTCTCACAGTTTTCTCAGTTGGAAACCCAGTTTAGCAGGCTGCCCAGCTCCATCCTCCAAGAACCAGCTCTGTCGCAAGATGCTGCATCCTCCCACCGGGAATGCAGGGCGTCTGGGCAGTAATGGTTGCTGTGGCTGTAACTACCCCATGGGAGCCCAGGGCATGGCCTCACATTCAGTATTTAAGACCCTCAGTTCATGGATTGGTCCATTTCCTTCAGCATTAATGAAGATGACGGGTCTCCCAGGAAGCCATGGAGCAAACGCTGAGGACTGGGTGGAGGGTGGGGGCTCCAGTGCAGTTTGTCACTAAACTCAAAGGCCCCTGTGTATTGCCATAGGATGTGGCCCAGGTCAACGAGGAGAACTTACCCGTGTACAACCGCTGTGCGCTCTACGCCCTGGGAGCAGCCTACCTGAACCTCATCAGCCAGCTCACCACGGTGCCCGCCTTCTGCCAGCACATCCACGAGGTCGGTGTCCTCGTGAGCCTGAGTGCTGGGTGTGGGCTGGGGGCTCCCGGGTGCCACTTCCCCCTCACTGCAGTGTGCATTGCTTAGTCACAGTGCTGCAGAAAGGAGTCACAGTGCTGAAATCAGAACTAATAATGAGAAGGTACGTGGGGAGGCGTTTCCCCCCCCCGATACAGCAGAGCAAGGCGGGGTTGGCACAGGAGCGTCCTGTACCTGCGTCCGGCCCCACACGTGGAAGCACACACACACCCCTCAGAGTGTGTGGACCAAAGAGGCTTCGTAAGAGGTTTTGCCACAAAAGTTCTCACAAGCAGCATGAGAATAGTGAACATCCGTGAGCTGTCATGTGCATTAAATACTGAGATTCCCCTGCATTTACTTCATCTGTCTCCTTTTTTTTCTCTGCTGAAATGGTTTTTAATGAACCCCAGCTCTCTTCCCTTGCACGTTACATATGTCAGCATGCGTGGCTCACGACAGAAAGTGGCCCCGCCCTTTGGCTGTCATGCTGTTCACATGTTAAAAAGCTGGGGTGTAGCTCAGTATAAAGCCCATGGGTTTAATCCTCGGGACCACAAAAAAGAAAAGAAAAAAAAAAGAAAACCCCTTGGTACATCTAATACCCAGTTTGTAATCAGTTGTATACAGATTTTTAAAAACATGCCGAGGTACTTGTAGGTGGAATGGAGTGATGTCTAGGATGAACTGCAAATGCACGATCCATACAGAGTTAAACAAAAGAAACCACAGGTCCCAGCTGGCCTGGGCAGGCTGAGGTGTGGGTGCAGCCATGGCCGGGACCATGCCCCGGGCCGGTGGCTGGGAAGGGCAGGCAGGAAGGGCAGTGTCCAGATGTCCTCTTCATAGGGAGTCACAGAACCCCAGAGGTGGGTCTAGCGGGGGTCCAGGCAGTGCCACCTCACCCACACAACTGCTTGCCAGCCTTGCCAGAAGCTCCCACAGGACACTGAGGAAGGCTCAAGAGGTCACTGTCTAGCAGGACATTACTACAGGGTGCAAGTTTGAGACCTGGCACAGCTTGAGTTCTCTTTTACTTGTTTAAGCAGAAAACACAGACATAGGGCACGGGAGCCAGAAACCAAAGTCTCCGAAGCACCCTTGACACATATGCGTCGCTTAGGGTGACAGCCTGGGCGGCTCACTTGGGCCTCTCGGGCTGCTCTGAGTCTCGCTGGGGACCTGCCTGGGTCTCTCACTGGAGAAGCCTGGCTGTGGTGCACTCGCCAGAGGCCCACAGGAGGGAGGAAAGGCAGGATCGGAAGCAGCCATTTCTGTCTCCTGTCCTGAGCTCCCCGGGTCTGCCAGGCCCTGCTCTCATCGTTAGATTCCTCCCAACCTCCAGGTGATAGAGACCAGGAAGAAGGAGGCGCCGTACATGCTCCCCGAGGATGTGTTTGTGGAGAGGCCCAGGTGAGACACCTCTGGGCGTGGCTGTGTATCCCTGTGGCTGCTGGGCAGGAAGGGGGCTGCCTGAGGCCAGATGGGCTGCATGCCCAGAGGCCCAGGCCTCTGTACAGTCCGGGCTGAGGAGATGCTGCCTGTGGCTATAGAGTTCCTGACATCCATGCTCGTGGGAGTGGAGAGCCAGGCTGGGGTGTTGGGCTGTAGACGCAGGCTGGGAACGCTTGCCATGTGCTGGCCAGAGCACAGCTCTTCAGCTCTGAGGAGCTCGTGGGAAATTAATGTCACCGTGAGGAGTGCTGTCAGGGAGTCATTGCAGTCCCCCACAGTCTGCCTCTTCTGTGTTGTCTAGGTTGTCGCACAGTCTCGATGGTGTGGTGATTGAGTTCCTCTTCCGCCAGAGCAAGATTAGTGAGGTGCTGGGGGGCAGTGGCTACAATTCGGACCGGCTCTGCCTGCCCTACATCCCTCAGCTGACAGGTACTAATGAGCTGTGTGCGGGGCCTCCCGTGCCTGCCTCGGCCGATCCTTGGCCAGCTAAGGGCCTAAATGGAAGCAGTCCTGGGCCCTTGGATCACCTATGGCATCTCGGGTGTTGCACAAGTGTCAGAGACACTGGATTGATGGGGACATGCTGGTTTCCCCGCTCTCCTATGGATGGAGCAGTGCCTTGTGCTGAAGACAGCATGCGTAGGCTGCAGAACCAGAAACCCAGTTCAGGATCTCAGTGCAGCTTACTGCCTAAAACATCTTAGGAAATGCCGTGCAGTGATGGCTGCTGGTGATGCCACACGAAGAGAAATAGCTTTCCGGTCCTAAGTGGCCTCTTGGTTTTCACCAGTGATTGCAAAATACCAAACCAACCACCCTAACATGGGCAGAGAAGGCTTGAAGCCGTGGAACAAGCAGAGGCCGCAGGGAGATGGAACAGGGCCTGACTCTGGGCCTCCGAGGGCTGGGACTCCAGTTTCTGGGTTCTTCTTTTCCAGATGAGGATCGCTTATCCAAGAGAAAGAGCATTGGAGAGACCATTTCCCTGCAGGTGGAGGTGGAATCCAGGAACAGCCCGGAGAAGGAGGAGGTGAGTGTCCTGTCACTGTCCTGCGGAAGGTTCTGGAAGCCTGATGCTGCAGGCCCTTCTAGCTGCGCAGTGCATTGAAGGTTACGTGGAAGTTAGTTTCTCACGTGCAGTGTTTTCCCGTGACTGTCACCATCTGTGTATCACCAGCATCCCATCTGGAAGCATTAGTTATTAGCGTCTGTCCCTACACCCTTGAGAATGTCAGAAAAATTACTCTGGAGAAGCTTGCTGGTCACCATTCTCCACCTGCGGTGGGGCCGAGGGCGCCATGTTGGAAGTCAGAAGGCGTAGCAGGAGAGGTTGAGGGAGAGGGGAGTGTTCATAATGTATCTTCCAGATATTACAATAATGTCCTTTTAAATTGACTTAAGTTCTTTTTTGTTGTTGTTGTTGTTTTGTACTCGGGAACGAACTCAGGACCTCACACTTGCCAGGCCGGCGCTTATGCTACTGAGCTAAATCCCCAGTCCAAGACTTAATTTCTTTAAAACAGTTTCAACTTCACAGAAATTGAGAGGAGGATGGAGAGATTTCTCATACCTTCCCAGGCCTTGCCACACATAACCAACCTCGCCTGCTATCAGTACCCACCCCAGAGGGGTCCATGTGCTGTTACAGTTAATAGTTGTATGTTAATAGCGAGCCCACCCGGGCACACTTTTGGTCCCCAAAGGCTACTATTCATGCTTGCTGTTGCATGTTCTATGGATTCAGGCATGTACTCTCCCTGAGAGTATCATGCAGAGTATTTTCAGTGCCGTGAAAATGCCCTGTGCACTACCTATGCATCCTTTACTGCTGACAACCACGATTCTTGTTCAAGAGAAAGCCACAGCTGTGCCTTACAGATCCCTCCTCCTGTCACCCTTTCTTGCCATCCATGAATATCTAATTTACGTGCAAATAACATGTGATATCTGCCATTATTTCATTTCTCTACCTCAGCAAATAAAGCAGATGTACCCAGGAGTCTAAGAAATCACAGAGGAAATATATAGTTACTGCCCTAAATGAGAAAGAAAAGCGGGGTGCAGAGGGGAGAGAGAAACCGGTCATGAGGTGCTGATCACACCTTTTCTTTATGGTTACTGGCCCAGAGGGCTGGGGAGCCACAGAGTAGAGGGTGAGGCTGGGGTAGCAAGGCTGGACCGGGCCCTGGGCTTGGGGACGCGGGCATTCCCATGCTCCTACACCCATCAGGGCCGGTAGCACCTGGGGTACAGCTTTGCCAGCGAGGTTCCCCCAGATGTGATGAGACCACAGAGAAGTCTTTGGAGGTCAGATCAAGCTCTTTCCAACCATGCCCTTGACCGCTTTGTTTTTAGGAGCAGACAGTCAGCTCAGAGCTTGTCCACCCCTTCTTGGATGGCAGGAAGCTCTGGCTTGGGCTAATGGGACAAGCAAGGGGAAGAGGTGGGACCAGGGCCCTCTGGAGAGCTTCCAGCTCTCAGAGACCAGGAAGCCCCCGGCGTGGGGCCCCGGGGTGAGCTGGCTGCTGTCTCCTGCTGCAGGGATTCTCCAGGCCCGAGAGTTAAATGCCCTGGGCCACCATATCAGCTCCTGGCGTCTTCAGGAGGCTACTGTGGCCAGGTAGCTGAGGCACGTCCACGTTCCCTCCTCACACTGCGCAGCCACGCTCTTCAGCCCGCCCTGTCCTGGTTCGGAATCCTGCAGGGGCTCCCCATGGCCATCACTGTGGGGTTGACTCAGTGCTGGGCTGATTGAACCCAGGCCTGGGTCAGAGCCAGTCAGGGCTGGCCTGGCCCCGAGATGTCATCTCATCCTCTGGAGGGGCTGTTCCCCGTCTGCCCGCGGCCCTCAGCCGTCCCCTGCTCGTGGGTGCAGGGGCCCTAGGGGTCCTTCTCTTGCCCGTTTGACCGACCTAGGGAGCTGCCATGCTCCAAGCTCCGTTTCTGCCACACGCTTCTCTCTCCTGCTCTTGCCCTGTGGCTGCCGTACCCTGTGGCTCCTGGGCGCCTCGCACAGGGGTCTCTGATGTCAGGCCGTGCCGCCCGCACCTGCACGGATGAACGCACAAAGGTGACTTCTGCAGAGCACTGTCGGGCTTGGCACAGCCGTTCCTCTGCGGACGGATTTTCCAAGTCCCGTCACTGAGAGCCCTGAAAACGTGTCCTTTGCTCCAGGGGCTCTGCCTCTGCACTGTTTTCCCCAAGGGAGCCACCAGCCAGAGTTGTGTCCCTTCCTGAACTTTGTGATAGTGAAGTCATTTACTTCTGTGTCCCCTTCTTTCCCTATTCTGTTTAAGTGATGGGATGCCTTCCAGTCATGAGTTTAGTGGGAATCCTGCAGCTCAGCCCACAGCCGTCCAGCGTCTGACCTAAGGCTGTGTGTCCTGAGCGTCCCCTTCACAGTCTGCAAGAGGCCTGAGAGCCTGTGCCCAGCTTGTCGCAGGCTGAGGAGGGCCCATCGATGCTAGTGTTGCATTTCTTTGCTCTAGTAAACCCTGAGAGCAACTCAGCAGTAAATTAGTAAATCTTAGTGCAATTCTTGAAGTTGACATCATATTTGCCAACTGCCTCCTTGTTCCCAGTAGTTTAAAGATTACAGGGTCCTCCGCTCCCATGGGGCTTGATGCGGCAAGCCTGGGTAGGAGACAGAGGCAGTGGTTCTCTTGGGTCGGGCAAGGAGTCAGCCTGCCTGCCCGACTGCATCTGGCCAGCCGCCTCCACGCTACCCCAGGCATGTGGAGATCTGGTGAGAGGCCCATTAGGACATCTGAGGAGCACGGGGGCCACCTCTCCTCTGTCTCTGAGCATGTCTGTCCCTTCCTCTGCAGCGTGTGCCGGCCGAGGAGATCACCTACGAGACCCTGAAGAAGGCCATCGGTGAGTCCCCCCGGGGACTCGGGGGAGAGGCTGGGCTCCTGATCTGCCGTCCTTCCCGAGGTGACTCAGCAGGGACCTGGGGCGAAGGCCTTAGGTGGCCACCAAAGCTGCAGCTGAATCCCCGCTCTCCTGACGGTGGTCCCTGGTGTCACCCCGTGTACCCCACCTCAGGAGGCCGCCTTCCTGTTGGCGGCAGCTGCCTCTAGAAATCATCAGCTGAGGCCAAAGCCAGATGCTGCATGAAGCGAAATTTTGTGTAAACGTTTTGACGCTGTTTTTGGTGGAGTCGGATATGACAGAACAAGTGGGAGATACTTGAGCAAGTCGTATTAGCATTTATTTAGCAAGGGCCGTAGGCTTCAAAATGCAGTTACTTCATTCATCTGGACAGTTGCACAATAAAGTATTCCCACTAGGAAATGTTTTTCTGATGACAAATTAAGCCTTTAGATTTCCTTTTCATTAAGCTTCTCCGTGTTTTGTGATGCACTTTCCGGTGGTGCTCACTGCCTGCTTTTTTTTTTTTCTTTTTTCTTTTTGTACTGGGGGTTGAACCCAGGGCCTCCCAGCGTGGTGAGGTGACAGGACGTGCCACCATGCCTGGCTTGCTGGTCTTGTGATGGCAAATGTCAGTGACCCACCCTGCACTCCCAGTACCCACATAGTTTTTTGGAGGGCGCTGTCTCATTTTGGAGACGGAATGGCATGTGTAAAGCCTTAAGCTAAAGGGCCTCAGACTGTCCTGCTATGGGGCAGTGTTGACTTCCCTGGTCCTATAGCTTTTTTGGTGTCCCTTTTCCAATTAGCCTCAGTACTAAAAGGACCAGTTGTTCCAGGACTTTCTGTTAAGCAGCAGAAGAGTTCTCAAACTGGTTCTCAAGCTCAGTACAAAGAGGGCTGCACCTCTGGCAGAACCAGGAGGAAGTCCCGCCTCCCCAGGACACCGCTGACCCTTACGATTAGCAGGGGACAGAGCACCGGGAGGAGATCACCTACCTTCCTACCTCCGCGAGCCCTTCCCATCCTCCTCAGTGGGAGACCTGAGCGCTCACCCAGCTCTCGGTGTCCCTGTCGCAGTGGACAGTGTGGCGGTGGAGGAGCAGGAACGCGAGCGACGGCGGCAAGTGGTGGAGAAATTCCAGAAGGCGCCCTTCGAGGAGATCGCAGCCCACTGCGGGGCCCGGGTGAGTGCAGTGTCACAGGCCATGCCAGACACACCCGATGTGGGCACAGGGCAGGTTTGAGTTTATTTAGCAGCCTATTCTGGCTTACTGTCCTCTAAAAAAGTAGGGCTTAACATCCAAGACAGAGAACTCTGCTATTGTCCCAACGCCTTACATTGTTCCCTGTGACCCCAAAGCCGTGTGTGTGTGTGTGTGTGTGTGTGTGTGTGTGGCATTCTTCAGACCACACAGCCGTCACATGAAGACTTCCAGAGCCCAGTACCAGACCGTCCAGTCAAACTCATCCTGATCACAATAGCAGGTGTGAAAAACTCCCGCCCACGAGGGCACCATCATTTATCAGCTTATTTGACCCTCCTAACTGTGAGGTTGGTACCTCTGTAGTCCCATGTTACACCACCGCGGACAAGGAGAGGGAGAGGAGAGCAGGCAGGGGAGAGCACAGCAGGGGCTCCGCCAGGCTTCGGGAGACAGAGCCAGACAAGCAGGGGTGGCCACCCGGGCTGACCTCCACGGTGATTGTGCGCCATGATTCGCTCGCCACTGTGTCAGCCTATTTAGTAACAATGTGACAAAGCCACAGCATTCCAAGTCTGCAGTGACACCTGCTCTCAACACAGATACACGCAATGTTATGTTGTTGTTGTTTTGGAGTCTGGGTCTTGATGCATAGTTCAGGCTAGCCTTGCACTCACCGTAGTGCAAGTGGTTCTCAGACTGTCTCAGACTTGTGAAAGTCCTGCCTGAGCCTCTCGAGTGCTGGGGCTACAGCTGTGTACCACCACACCCGGCTTTTATAAGGACTTATGTAAGCATATATTTTGTATGTGTAGAGAAAACAGATTTTCCTAGCCTACCTTCTCCTAACTTCTAACCCCTTTGAGAGGTAGACTTTGCCTGTCTCATGAGCAAGGAGTTGAAGCCCCCTCACTGGACACATGCGAGTTGAGGAAAGAGCCAGCCCCAGTGAAGGCCCCTGAGTCCAGGCCCAGAACTGAGGGCCAAAGGACTTGAACTCCGGAATCACTTGCCAAAGTCTCACCTGATTCCCAGGGCGTCTGTCCTGTCCCTCCCCAGGCTTCACCTGACAACTGTCCTGACCTGAACCACAGCAGACAAGTGGGGGGAGTTCACCCCTGGTACCTTCCTGTGGCTGCCATTGCCTGGCGCCACCAGTGTCCCCTGCAGACAGGTGGCCCGTGAGTCCGCCTGTGGGGTCCCGGGGTTCCCTGACTCACTGCCCCTCTGTTTGTATCTAGGCATCACTGCTGCAGAGCAGACTCAACCAGATCTTTGAAATCACCATCCGGTAAGTAGTAACCCAGCGAGGGACCCCTACCTGTGTCCCCAGGGCGGGGGTCAGCAGCCAGCTCTCCTGGACAAGGGAAACAGTGATCACACTGAAGCCTGGAAAGAGCCAGCGGTCCTCATATGTAATGAAGCTGGTGCTTCCTTTCTAAAGTGGCTGCATCCAGGTACAGCCTGCATAAAACTTAGCCTGAGCTATAGATTCTTGGAGCAGCCTAGAAATCTAGCAGTCTGCAGGACAAGCAGGTCTCCAGTGCCAGGCAAAGAGGAACACAGACCAGCTGCCGCGTTCAGTTGCCCAGGGCCAGGACCCCAGACTTCCTGCCTGATGCCCTTCTTCTCTGTCTGTTTCCCCAGGCCCCCGCCGAGCCCGTCGGGAACCATCACCGCTGCCTACGGCCAGCCTCAGAACCACTCCATACCCGTCTACGAGATGAAGTTTCCTGACCTGTGTGTGTACTGAGCTCCCGGAGATGAAGCTCCTCGCAGGGATGGGGGCTGAGGGAAGGGCTGACCCTCACACCCATCCCTGCCCTTGAAAATCTAGCTGGGATATCTGACAGCTGGCCCCTCCCAGCTAAGTAAAGGCAAAGCCTCCAGGTCCCTCCAGAACATCACCACCCTCCTGCCTCCGGCCTCCCCTGGGGAAGACCCAGGCGCCTGCCCCTCTCCGGTGCCCTCCTCCTTCTCTTCCTTCAGCCAGGGTGGAGCATCGTGGGGTGGGCTCTAGAGAGAAAGGGGAGGGAAGCTAGGCTTGGGGTTGGCGGGGTGAAGGGCTTCCACTGAGGCTGCATCTCAGGGCTCGTCTGGTGTCCCCAGAGAAGGCAGCAGCTGGAGACCTGATTGGTCCAAGGAGGAACCAGTGCGAGCTCCCCTTGGAAAGGAGAGGTGAGAGCCGAGTCACAGGAGTCTCCCCCTCCCTGGCTGGTCCTCAGCTGTCTGCTCTTTCTACTGCAATTTGACATGGAGGCGCTTGCCGCTGGAACTGGGGACGGAGACAAGCCAGACGGGGCCATGAAGAGGAACGCGGGGGAGCAGGCCTGGGGTGGGAGGAGGCTGGTTCTGCCGACTGTCCCTGGCACAAGGGGACGAGTTGCGTCCTTCTATAGCATCTCTCCTCCTTTGTTCAGAGGGAGTTGTAGGGGGTGCTCTCTGTTTTCTGAGTGTTGGTCTTTGAGTTACTTGGGCTCTCTCTCTGTTTTTCTCCCAAGGATCCTAAGGAGTTTCCACAACCTGTGGGTTGAGGGAAGGCAGAAAAAGATAGTGTGGTTCAGTGATGGAGAACCTTTTGGAGTTTCTGGTCCTAGCAAACGGCCAGCTATGGTGTGCATGCGTGGGTTCCCACCACCCGTCTAGTTCTAGGTGACTCAAGTGGGTGAAGTGCAGGGGCCCCGAGGCCTGCCCACAGGGTCTCTGAGGATGGTCTCCCAGCTTGGCTGGGGGAGCAAGTCGAGGGGGGAGTTGGGCAAGCAGCCTTTGGGGCTCAGGAGCCAATCTGTCGGATGTTCCAGTCGAGGAAATGGAGCCGGCACCTGCTATTCAAGTGATTTCTCACTCTGGAAAACTGGGGTGCCTGTGCCACCTGGCATTGGAAGAGGCAATGGAGACCCCTTTAGGTTCCGGGCTTCTGTTTCCCGAGTGCCACTTGTTTGTCCCTGCTGGCCGCAGACCCAGAGCTGGGCAGGGCATGGAAAAGGCCGCGTGCCGAGCTCCACCTCTCCGACCCTTCCTCTGAGTGCCTTTGGGTATCCTGGTGTCTGTGGAAGCAGCAGCCCGCTGTGGTCAAGAGGAGCCTTTTCTTCCCAAGCTTTGCCTGTCTTTCCTGAGCTGACGTAACTCACAGCGAGGTGTAAATGGTCAGATGTTCCCTGCGTGGAGAATTTGTGTTTAAAGGGAGACAGTACATTTCTTGACCCACAAGAACCCATTTTTTGGGTACATTTTAGGCAGTACAGCAAGGGGTCAGAAGGAGGCTGTGTCTGCTCCAGGCTGGCAAGCTCCCCAGGACACCCTCAGGTCACACCCTGCACAGTGACCAAAGGGCCATCAGGGCAGATGGGTGCAGAATCCTAACACACCGCACCGTGGTAAATGTTGGGGCAGGGGCTTCTGAGCCTTTGTCCACACTTCCCCGAGACATCTCTTCCCCAGGGTCACTGTCCCGGCTGTGGGCCTGTGGCTTCTGCATGGCCTGCATGATCACAGGCCTGGGCTGGGGATAGGCTCCTGCTCCCCAAGGCTTTGGGGCTATCTTTTGTGGTTTTTGTGTAACTTATGCTCAATGCAACTCTACAGGCATGAATTTAGATTTCTAATTCTCATAAAGAAACCAAGTTTAAAATAAATTTAAACAAACTTAAAGGCAAATAACCTCTAGGAAAAAAAATGAAGGAAAATCTAAACTTTGAGCCACAAACGTCTTCCCTCATCAGATCTTTCCATCTCTTACGCACCCTTGGCTAACAGAGGGGACTCCCCATGTCTTCCTCGTATCCAGGCAGCATTAAGGTTACTCCGAGCATTGCCTGTGGGGCCCTGGTTCTGGGACTCAAGACACTTCCTGGAATCATCTTCCTTCTAAAGGCAGCTTTAGAACCAGAGACCTTGAGGTCTGCTCAGACTTCTCAGTCTCTCACCTACTGCTGGGAAGAGAGAGAAGAAAAGCCTAAGAAAAGGCTTCTTAGGCCGCCTAGACCTCCGTCTCAGCTAGTAGCTTCCTCCACGCTGTGGCTGCTGAGCAAAGACTCGCTGCTTTCAGAGAACCAGCTGTGTCCTGCACATTCTTGTCTGTTTCGGTTTAAAGTTATGCTCAGTAGACTCTTAGGATGCCTGCCGAAGTGGAGTGGACTTTGGATTCTGGTCAACTATACCTCAGAATCAGGATGTTTAAGGGGAGCATCACCTTGGACAGAATTAAATAGTGAATACAGTGATGCCTGTCACCCCATCACAAGGCCTGGAGAGACCAGAGTGAAGTTGAGTGGGATCCAGAGGTGGAAGCTTGTGTCCCTGTCTCCAGCCTACTGTCCCTGCAGCCTGCCTTCTAGGCCCTCTGAATACACTGTCTTGTGCCCCATTGTTTTGCCCTTCTGTGAGCATGAGCCAGGAGGAACCCGCCAGCGCATTGAGACCAGCTGCCTGCAAAAGCTACCAGAGACTCTCTCTGGCTTTGTGGGTAAGGGACAGGGCAGTCAGCATCCTGCTGGTAGAACTTAAAAGGCCTTGAATGTATTTGAGAGTTGGAAATTCTGTTAATTTGATTGGGTCATAAAAGTGGATGAGAAGCAGCCAAGTGTCCCCGTAGTCCCAGGGGAGCTGGTCTCAGTGCCCTGGGCTTGTTCCCAGTTTCCTCTCTGTGATGAGATAAGTGGTTTCTTCCCAAACTGCCTCCTCACCAGGGGTGGAGCCTATGCAGAAAACCCCTCCATACTCCCCTGTCCAGCTTCTCCCCGCTACCTGTATACAAATCGGTGAGCAGGGCAAGGTGGGGCCTGGGACCAGCGAACAGGCACGGCACCGTGTCGTGTTTGTGCTGCCTTTTGTCCTGGCTGTGCCAGGGCCACAGGACACATTTCAACCAGAGTAGGTGTCCGAACAGCCTGTAGGTTTCTTTAGACACAGACCTCTGGGCTGTGGGGGCGCAGGGCTGGTCTTGCCTTTGTTGTCCCCAGGCCTTGTGACCAACTTGAGGTACGAGGCTGTTTTTCCCAGTTTTTTCTTGTGACCAGGAAATGTGACCAGGGGGCCTGCTGAGGAGAGCCAGACCTGGGCTGTTGGGCTGAGTGTTGTGTTTAAAGGCAGACAGAGCTCATCTTACCAGGGCAGGCCATACCTGCTTCCTGTGACCTTGTCCCTGGCAGGCAGGTTCATTCTATTAGTCCTAGAAATCTGGCTGCTGTGACCCTTTTTCCCAGATCAGGCCTAGGTCAGAAGATTGCAGGAGGGTCATGGTGGTCCCTGTGCTGGAGCCTGACTGGCTGAGACGTGGTGCGGAGCCTCGGGGACAGGAGGAAGGACTCTGTGGCTGGAGGCACTTTCTGAGCTCTCCTGGGACAGCAGCCTGGCTGACCAGGGCTTCATCCAGAGGACCCGGGGCTTCCTGAACCCACCACCTTCCCATTTAGCCCTTTTTTTGACTGGATTCTGGCGTATGAAGTGCAGAGTTGTAGGTCGTATATGCTGCAGCCCATACATGGTGATGTGTCTGTGTCCACCCAGCCCTTCACGACCTGGCTGAGTGTGTGTATGTGCCTGTGTGTATGCATGTGTGTAACATAGTCTGTAGTCGGCAATATCTGTATATAATGTCTGGCATTTATACGTGAGTGCACAGTTAGTGCCCATGGCAGTTTTCTGTATTTTAAACTTATTGCATCAAATTAGTTTTATTTTAGGGAAGCAGGGAAATAGGAGTGTGGGAAGGACTCTTAGCAAGATCATTCTTTAGGACAATTAGTTGCAGTTTCCCAGGAAGCCTTCATGATGCCCTTTTCAAATAAATGTGAATGTTGTCACTACATGCCTGTCTGTTTGATTCCTTTAAAGTAAATGTTTTTTTCAGATACAAACAGAATCTGAAAATACCAGCAACGTACCACTCACATTTAGTTACCCCAGCTGACCTGACCTTACCCACCTCAAGAAGGACATGGCTGCGCCTGGGGTTTAATGGCAAACGCAAGGTCTGTGAGTTCGATCCCTGGTACCAAAAAAAAAAAAAAAAAAAAAAAGGAGGGGGAGGAGGAGGATGTAGTGCTACCCAGATGGAAACCCAGGATTCCCGGTGTGGGGGTGTCGTCAGGTGGCCCAGAGCCACTTTCTGTTGGACCTAATTTCCTGCAACCCACATTGGCTTATGGGAACCTGGCCTCCGACTCCCTTCACATCAGAATTCCCAGCGTGCAGTCCACATTTTCTTTCATTGCAAATTCTCAGAGCTTCAAAATACAGGGCATCTGTATAAACTGTACTGTTTGCCTGCAGCTTTGATGTGCACCATCTGCTGGTGTGTCCCACACAAGTGACGTGTGTATATCCATAGGTATCTAAATGTATGGCTGCAAACCTGTGGCCTCAGCATTGTGAAAAAGAAAAGACACTTTGCTTCTGTCCTGCAGAGGTTGGAGTGTCCCTGAGAGAAGAGAACAAGATAAACACACAGCAAGTGATTTGTCATCTGAGCCCACCAGCATGTTGTCCAGCGTGGAGGGCAGTGGCTGTAGAAACTCAAAATGAGATGAGCAGGGGCAGCTGGGAGAGATCACATCCTGCCCAGCAGTAGAACTGAGCCCTGGCTCATGTTGACAACAGGCGAGAAAGTTTGGGGGAAGGCAGAGGGTTCCAGCCCCCAAAGGAAAATGGGAGCGGAATTGAGTAGACCGTAGGCTTGAAGCGCAGCCTTCATCTGGGAAACAGGCTTCGTAAGGAAGGTAAGCCTGGGTGCCAAGGTCCTACATGCCATGCCCAGTTTGGGACTGATAAATTGCAGGGCAAAGTTAACTGTTTTGGTTCTGAATGAGGAAATATGCAAAAGCCAAATTATTTCTTTCCTGGTATTGGGGATTGAATCCCGGACCTCACACATGCTAGGCAAGCACTTTGCTGCAGAGGTCTCACTAAGTTGCCCAGGCTGGACTCAAACTTTGTCTTCCTGCTTGATCCTCCTTTGCAGCAGGGATTACAACAGATTCTGTACACATGAATAGAAATCTGTGTACAATGTGTTGGGGAGGAGAATGACTGGAGACCAGCTGTTTAGGATGTGGTTAGGATCAAGGCCTCAGCGGGGAGGACCGAGCAGGAAGGGAAGGGCCGATGCTGGGCAGCATGAGGAGCGCAGAGCTGGGACGCACAAGGGAGAAATGGGACCCCAGAGCTTGAGCCTGAGAGACGGGAAGAGGAATCTATGTGTAGTGCTATCTTTATACAGACAGGTCAATTTCCACAGCACATATGTGTAAGGGAGTGAGACCAGGCATTTGAGGGCATCTGTGAGGAGCCAAAGTGGAAGTGATACCAACTGTCAGCTGACACTCAGCTCCTCGGGGATAAAGATGATCCCATCTATTTCCTCCTTTAGTCTTCATAACCCTTTCGCTAGGAAGGGAGAAGTAACGGAAAAAACAATGGTGAACTTCAGGGACTCAAGTCTGCACAGCAGGGAGCACAGCCAGGACTCAGATCCAGGGAGTCACAACCGCAGCCCTGAGGACCCTTCTGGGGTGGGTTCCCCGCCTGGCTCCCTGGTGACAGCATAGGCAGAAAACGGAGTCATCCCAGGAGTGCTAAGGAAGCCACCTCGGACCATCCAGCCCATCTGGGCCCCTAATAGGCCAGGGCTGGGGGCGTGGCCGGGCACGTTCTTGCCGGTCTATCTCTAATGAAATCCACTACACCACTTGGCCTTATGGAAACCATTATGTTCCATTCCACTCTAAGCTGGTCTTTGATGGCTGTGTATTTGCATTTCGTTCGCAGTCGACATTCAAGTCAGTCTGCTGCGGAATTGACAGGCTTTATTTCCTAACTACAGGCAGAAGGCACCGGAAGGCCGGCGGGCAGGGGGCCGCGGGGCGGCTCCCCCGTGAGCTGGCGGGCGGGCGGGGAGGCCTGCCCGCGCCTCACTGGCCCTTCTTGTGGGCGTTCTTGACGATGGCGTTCTTGAACAGCGTCACCAGCGGCGTCTGGCTCTTCTCCGAGCTCATGAAGCCGCCGTAGCGCTTGCCCTTGCGCGGGGTGCCCCAGCGGAAGTGCTCCATGCGATAGGACCCGTCGTCCTTCTTCTCGGCCGCGTCCTTCTTCTCGGCCGCTGCCGCCTCGGCCTCGGCCTCAGCCACCAGGCCGAACCCCAGGCCGTCGGGGCCGGGCGCCGCCGCGGGCCGCTCCCCGGTCAGCTCCCGCTTGAACTCAAGCGGAAAGGCCTCGGCCGACTCCTCCTCCGCGCCGTTCGCGTACACCTTCACCGGGCGCCGCTTCTTGCCCACCGGCTTGCCCCAGCGGAAGTGCTCCATGGAGTAGGAGCGCTTGTCCTCGCGCAGGCCCGGCTCGACGCCATCGCCGTGGAAGCCGGGGTCGGCCGCCGCCGCCTCCTCCTCACGCTTCTGGCTCGCGCCGCTGCTGTTACCGCGGCCGAAGCGGCCCCAGCGGAAGTGGCCCGTGACGTACTTCCGGGGGCTCTCGGTCGGCGTCTGCTCGTCGGCGCCCCCCGGAAACACTGGCGTCTCGGCCGAGAGGTCCGGTTTGCAGGCCCGGAGGCACTCCTGGGGACAGCGCGGGCAGTGAGGAAGGCCGCGCTCCGCGCCTCGCACAGCCCTCCCCACGTGCGGTTCCCGGCCCAGCCCGAGGCCGCGCTGCCCAGTGTGCGGCCACCGAGATCTCTCGGTGGTCACGGACGCCATCTGCCCACTTGCGCCTGCCCCGCTGCATACCTCCGGCGACCACCGCAAAGATGCCATCCCAAGCCATGGCTCACTTGTCTGTCCTTACCCGCCCTTGGGAGCTGATCTTCCATTATGTGCCTGATACATGGGACATGTGCCCCATGGGTGGTAGCTAATGACTTCATGACCATTGAGTGTATAGATATGGCTCATTTCCAGTCCGGAAGAGGGATAGGGCTGAAATTTAGGGGACAATCTGGGTAACAGAAGCTTGCTTAGAGGGCCTGTATTTTCAGCAATGCTTCCATCTTACCCCATCTTGCTCCAAGCTTCCCCCCAGCCCTGTCTCTGCATCATGTCTCAGAAACCTTCGCGTACTCACTGGGCCCTTTCCTCTGGTTCTTTTGAGTCTCTCTAGCTAATCTTGTACTTCCCTGCAGGCAGTAAGCCCTGGGACTAGACTACAGGGAGAGTTGCAAAATGGGTTGTTTTCATTGTACATGCCATGGCGCCCATGTCTCTGATCCCTGGCCTAGAGGAGTCAACTATGGTAAAACTGTATTTGCTTAGGAAAATGATCCATAGGTTGCAACTGAGTTACTTGGGAACCACAGAAGAGAAAACAGAAGGCTCTCACCCATTCTACTGAGTCCTGAGTTTCCTACTGCAACACGTTAATGGTGGAAAATTAAAACTACCTACTTTAGACTTCACTCCCCTGAACAGAAGGCTTGAGAGGATGAAAGAACCTTATCACTCACTGATAACGGAAGTGGGACTAGAACCCATGGGTTCTGACTGTGTCCAGTGCTCTTTACCTGTGAGCTCCCAGCAAGAGAGGCTGTTCAGTGTCTCAAATCAAGTCTCAGGTCTATTTATATAATTCAACAGAATTCCCTGGCCTCTGTCTTTTCTGTGCACATGCGAGGGCCTGCCAAGCGAGGGTGAGATGCCCACACTACATCTTGAGCATTTTTCCAACAGAGAAGCTGAGTTAAGATAAAGGAAAAGATTTCCTCAAAGTCATAGAGCAGTTTCATGCTCTGTGTTTCTATTTTTCATGTGCACAGGGGCCACTGATCTTGTGTGCCTCTGCAGACTGCAGAGGAGCTTGGCAGAAGGTCAGCACTCCAGAAAAAGCATGAGGTACTTGGCCCCAGTTACCAAAAGCTGGTACCCTGGTCTTTCCTTCTCCCTCTAGAAATGTTCATGGAAATACTTGGCTGGTTTTGTAACATAATAGATTAAAGGGGAAAATACATGAAGTTAAAACAGTGATGTGAGGCTATGTAAAAATGAATGAATTGGGGGTAAAAGGTTGAAGACTTGGGATCCGTTGATGAAGCAGTTACTGTTATGGCACTATCTCTACGCAGGATAAGTTGTGTGGAGTCTCCCTAGAGGACAGGGCAGGGATAAAGCTAGTCAATCAGAAACTATGAACTAGATCCTTCTCCCTGAAGCTGCTGTTCTCTGTCTGTCTCTCTCTCTCTCTCTCTCTCTCTCTCTCTCTCTCTCTCTCCCCCTCTCCCTCTCCCTCTTCCCCTCTCCCTCTCCCTCTCCCTCTCCCTCTCCCTCTCCCTCTCCCTCTCTCTCTCCCTCTCCCTCTCTCTCTCTCTCTTTCACATAGGGTCTCACTGTGTACTCTAGGCTGCCCTTGAACTTACTGTGTAGCCCAGGCTGACCTCAAAGTCTCAGCGATCCTCTTGCCTCAGCCTCCCAAGTGCTGGGATCACAGAAGTGCAACACCGCACCCAGCCTTTGCTTCCTCTCATTGGCCCAATTTTGACTTCACAGCAGAGTTCTGCTTGTGCCCTGGGTTGTGTCAGCCCCAGTGAATAAAAATGAATTTCCTCTTCCCCACACCCCTTTCTTTTGAGCTGTCCCAAACCAGGGTGGCCTCCGTGGCCCACATACCAGCAGGTGTCTCTCCGTGGTGAGGTCCTGACACTGGCTGCTCTCCAGGCACCAGCCCCGCACTTCCATGGAGATCTGAAGCAGCAAGGCCAGCAGCAGGGTCCCCGAGCGGCTGTAGCACGATCTCGGCATCTTCCAGGTGGCAGGCTGAGGCTCTGCGGAGGCAAACAAGCTCGGTGGGTCCCCTGCGAGGCGCAGAACAATGTTGGACACTCACCAGGAAGGACTGCAGGCCAACACCAACAACACTTGCTTGTGGAGTCCAAGGCTTTTTGAGGTCAAGAGCAGCACTGAGGAGGAAGATGGGACATGTGCACGGTGGAGCTGCGGGGAGGAGAGGAACAGGTCCAGGGAAACTACGGCCACTTCCCCCTTATCTCTGTTAAAACCAAACCCCTGAAGAGGCTAGAAGTGGGAGCTATTTGGGAGAATCACTTGATCCAGCCATTCTTTCAAGAGATGGGGAATCTGCAGCCCACAAGAAACAATTACATCTGCATTTGAGGTAAGGTAAGGCTAAATTCTGCTTTCAACAACGCTTTCTTATTTCACTGCCTCCATGAGGCTGTAGTGCTGACCCTCCAGACCCAAGAGTGGGGGTAACTTGAGAAAGACAAAGGACTCCAAAGTGCCTGCTCAGCAGGGCCATTCCCCCTCCGTCTGCCGGCGTCCTCTCATTCCTCAGATATTCATGTTTCCCGTGAATATGGGCTTTGCAGAAAGGTGCTTAAAACTCCAGGCCCGTTCATCAGATCTCAGCCAACCCAGTCCTGCACACAGTCTCTTGGGTGATTACTATTTCCTAGACTCTCGTAATTTTGGAGAGGTTTAACTTTAAAGCCAATTCTCTTACAACTGGCTTCTTCTGGACACTGCACATCAGACCTCTTGTTCCCTGAGTGTCTTATACACAGTCTGAAATAGGTGAGCTTGAAGGGGATGTGGGCACTGAGGGGTAAACATGGACAGAGAGTTCGGAAGGAAACTAACCTCCAGTGAGAATGGCCATAGGAAACACTAGGGAAGAATCCAGGGACTCACATTTGGGCAGGTGCTGGGAAAGAGGTCAGGAGGAAACAGGAGGAGCATCAGGGTGTCCTGTCCCCAGCACTGCTAGCTCTTCTGTTGCTATGTCCCCCCACCCAGATGAACAAGCCCCAGCCCGGGCTGTAATCAGTTTACCCCTGACTTATAGTCAATTTGGATTTCAGGAGATCTCCACACACACTTAGAAAGAAATCTAATTAGATGAGAAAAGTATCCTTCATTAAGGTGTGGATGATTTAAGTGTCTTCTCACTCCTAAGGAACATTTACACTTTAAAATAAGTTTACCTAAAAGAAATCTTGCGGGGGACGGGAAGAAAAACGAACCAGGATACCATGTGTCTAAGTACCAATCCCAGACATACTAATTTAAAAGGGGTGGGGATAAGGCCGTCCTTTGGAGAGATGTGGGCCAGATCTGTCTTAGAGCGGTGGCTTGGGGAGTGAAAAAGTCCTCTGTGTCCTCATGTCCACTTCAGGAAGCCACTTCTTTCTCTCTGCCACACCCGCCCATTCCCCAGGGCCTGGGCCACCTAGGGCTTTTCGGAAGGGTTGCCGGGCTTGGGCCAGGCATCTTCAGAGCAGCCGTTAGATGGCGCTGGCAGGCGGAGAGCTTGCCCTGCAGCCCCTCTGCTAAGGGGACTCCTCAAAGAGGTCGGCCAGTGTCGCTTTCTATCGTGATGCAGGACAGGCCACGCTGGTGTAGCTCGCTCTGCTCCAGTTCAAGCAGGCAGCCTGAACTTGGAGAACAAAGCAGAGAGATCCCAGAGACCCAGCACCTCCAGCTCACAATTAGGTCCACTCATTACAGGAGAGGCAGGACAACGGTACAGTATAACACAGTAGTAGAGAAAAATCCTACCGATCCAACAGTCTCCTCATCTGTGTGTCTGTCTGTCTCTGTCTCTTTCTGTGTCTGTCTGTCTCTCTCTCTCTGTCTCTTTCCCTCTCTCTGTGTTTCAGTATGAAAGATTGAACCCAAGACCTTCACACTGAGCTACACCCCCAGACCTTTTTAATTTTTAAATTTGAGACAAAATCTCAGTAAGTTGCTCAGGCTAGGCTTGAACTTGCAATTCTCCTGCCTCGGCCTCCCAGAATGCAGGTGCAGTGCCACCACACTCAGCCCCTTGACTGTATTTTAATTCTCAAAGCTGGTCTTTCTGGAATGACTTACACTTTCTAAACACCTCCTTCATGACTTTCGGCTTTCCTGGAAGCCCTCAGAGAGCTCCTTCCGACACACTGGCTGTGTTGTGCCACATAGTAACATTCTTGTCCTCCCGCCGGAGCATCTCCTCTATTTGTCAAAAGCTGGATGGTTTCCTGAAAGCAACTTGCCTTGTTTGCTTTGTGTATATTCTGTCTTTCTATAGTAAATGTTCTGTCTGTCTGTCTCTCTCTCTCGTAAATGTTCTCTCTCTCTCTCTCTCTCTCTCTCTCTCTCTCTCTCTCTCTCGACAGGATCTTGCTTTGTGGTTCAGGCTGGTCCTGAACTCACTATGAGTCCAGGCTGGCCTTCAACTCCCAGTGATCCTCCTGCCTGCCTCAGCCCTCTGAGTGCTGGGATTTTAAATGTGTGTCATCACACCTGGCTCGTGTTTGTGTCATTTTTAAAAAGCAGCAAAGTAGTGAGAAAGATGCTAGCTGTTGTACTTTTTTTTTTTTGTAAGTAGAAAGTATAATAATCCAATACTTGAAAGCCCTGGAAAGTAGAAAATTACAATGTATTAACCTTGACATTAACTTTATAACAGGACTCCACGTGGGTGAGTCTCTGAATTAAATAAAATATTATTGCCAAACTGCATTGGCTACGTCCTTCCGCAAAGATTAGAGGAGCAGAGGTGGGTGCACCTTTACTCTTGCACAGTAATGGACACTCTTGTCAGGTCCTATAACAAAAATGTCCAGGACATAACAGTCATTAGGTGAACCTTCATCTCTATGTGCTATAAATTGATGAGCAAACGTACACTTTTATTTCCCGTGCCTCATTCTAGCCGTTTTGTGAGAACCACCCCTGCCCCGGTTATACATAAAGAGCTTGGAGAATCCAGATGCTCCGCGGTCGGCCCTCCCGCGTTGTGAACGTGCCTCGCCTGGCCTCTGACGGCACAAACGGCTGCAGCCCGGAGTCCGCAGGGTGAACCTGCCCCTGAGCCCGACCGGCGTTTCAGGACCGCGGACAGCTCCCGCGGGCACCTGTCTTCCCCCACCTAGGTCTCGGGGCGGAGGGGCTCCCCATCGGGTCTCGTGGTCGTTGACCCCAGAGCGGGTTAATCATCATAGCGCATCTGGCTCGGCGCTAAGGCGAGCGGCGAAATGAGGATTAGGGGTCTAAATTTTAAAAATCTGTCATGCAAGGGGTTTATTGTGACCCCGTTTCTCTCCCGCCCCGTTTCCAATACTACTTGAGAATATCTTACTTTGCAGACCTGACTTAGATCCAGGAAATCAGGGAAGCGAGACACCTCGGGAACCCCTTGCCCCGGTTTCCGCACCTGAGCCCCGAGCCCCTCCGATGCCTCCGTCCGGGAGCGCAGCCTGCGGTGTCACTGCCGAGCCCCAGTCCAGCAGGAGCCCTCGGCTGTCAGCCCAGAAAGTTTGCCAAGAACTCGGGCTTCCTGTGCCCAGGCCTCTCTCGGGACCAGTGGGCACCGCAGGCCGGGCAGGCAGGCCGGGTAGGAGCGCGGTGCCGCGCTGCTGCGCCCTTACCTGACAGGGCTGCTGCTGTCTGGGCGGCTTCTCGGGTCCCTTCTCCTCCCCACGCGCTCCTCCCTCTCCGCGCTGGGTCTCTGTCGCTCTCCAGGGTCCTTATATACCTGCAGGGCGGGCCGTGACCTTCCTGGCAGCAATTCTGCTGCGCAAAAGCAACTCGTCGGCCAAGCGCAGGGGGGCCGCGGGGCGCGGGAGGGGGCGTCCCGGACGGCGGAGGCTGGCATTAGCACCCCGCTGCCGAAGGGCGCGCCTGGCAGCTGGTGGGCAGGAAGGACTTAATTAAAGATGGTGTTTGTGGCCACTTGGGTCGGACGGAGGCTTAGCATCCCGTCTCTGGGGTGGTGAGGAGGGGCGACGTTACCTGTGTGTGCTGGGGCTCCACCTGCCTCTCTGGCATTTCGAGATAAATGTCACCCCCAAGGCGGCGCATTCTTTATGCCCCCGATTCGTGTTCTGCTTTGGGGAGGAGGGAAGGAGTAGAGGTCAGGGATCGCTCTCCCGCCCCCGCCCAGGTTGCTTCTTGAGTGTGGGATGAGCGTTTGCCCAGGCCTGCTCCCCCAGGCCGAATCCAGAGCAGCTTCCTTTCTACGCCCTGAACGCCAAGAAAAACGTCCAGTGAATACTGTATCGTTAATGGGAGGGGTGGCACTCTGTGACACCAGCTGAGGTCCTCTCCCTGTGGCCATGAGCTGCCAGAATGCTCTGGGGCCCTTCCGTCCTCCTTGGACCCGGCCTGGCTCCAGGGTCAGGACAGGGAAAAGAGAACAGCATGCAGACCTAGATGGGGAGAACCTATGAACATGGATGAAGAAATGAATCCAAATTGTGCAGAGCTGTTGGCTAAAGTGGCTCATGCCTATAACCCCAGCACTTGGGAGGCTGATGCAGGAGGATTGCCTCAAGGCTGAGGACAGCCTGGGCTACATAGTGAGTTCATGGCCACCCTGAATACATAGCAAGACCCTGTCTCAAAAAAAAAAAAAAATTAGGGGGCCAGGGATGTGGCTCAGCGGCACAGCACCTGCCTGGTAAGCTCAAGGTCCTGAGTTCAATTCCCTCTGCCAAAAACAACAACAAAGAAAAGTTGTGAAGTAGGCTGGGGATTTAGCTCAGCGGCATAAGCGCCTGCCTTGCAAGCAGGCAGTCGTGAGTTCGATCCCTGGTACCGATAAAAAACGAAAAAGACAAAAAAAAAAAAAAAAAAAAAAAGAAAAAGAAAAGTTGTGAAGTAAGATGTGTGTGGCAGGGAGGACTCAGACTAAATCGGGCTTCAGATCCACGTGGATGTTCCATCTCCCACTGGAGGGAAGTTGTTTATTCCCAGTGGGAGGCTCTCACAGACTCCCTGGGAGATCGTCTGTCCTGGATGGTGGCGCTGACTGTACGTTCCGTGATCTTTTCCTCACAAGACAGAACCGAGTCCTCAGCGGCACTCTGGGTGCCTTGTCACCTGCCTGTCCTGCTCATCTTGCGTCCTGCACCTCAGCCATCGCAACACTCCCAGGCCCGGGAGCACTGCATTCGTCTGTCTGTCCACGCTGCTAAGGCCTCCTTCTCTCGCTCACCATCAGAAACGTGGGCTCACGTTGGCGTGTCCACGCTTACCTGCTGTCTTCAGCCACTTTGCTGGTTCTCTGTTCCTCCCAGACCCCCGTCTCCCTCCCTCGCCTGACATCGCCAGCTTGTGAATTCTTCCAACCCAATAATCTTCCTCTTCCTCTTATTTTCCCTCTGCCTTTCTTTCTTCTCCTTTTTCTTGTTATTATTTCTTGTTGGTGCTGGTGGTACTGGGGATTGAAACCAGGATCTTCTCATTAAGCTACATCCCCAACTCTTTGTAAAAAAATTTTTTTTAATTTCAATATAGGGTCTCTCCTAAGTGACTCAGGTGCCTAGACTGGGTTCAAATTTGAGATCCTCCAGCCTCATCAGCCTCCCAGAGCGCTGAGATTACAGGCAGGCACCGCCACACCCAGGATGTCTTTGTATCACTGCTCTAACCTTAGGAGGTGTCATGGTTTATGTCTGTGGCCCCCACTGCCTCATGCATTCGCACTGTGCATTTGTGATTGGTTCATTGTCTAGGGCTTGGATTGATGATGTCAGTGCTCCACCCACAAAGGGGTGGAGCCAGAATGTGATGTAATGGCAGGAAGAAGGTGTGTCTCGCTCTCTTGCCGGTTTCCTCCTTGCTGTTTGCAGCTGCCATGAACTGTGGCCCCGCCATGCCACCCTGCCCTGGAGCCAACCGAGTATGCACTGAAACCTCCACAAACTGTAAGAAATAAACCTTTCCTTTCCCAGCTTTGGTCATCAGGTATTTTTGTCTCAGTGATGAGTAAAGAGTCACTAAGACAGGAGGCATCTGGTGGTAGCATACAGCAGGACCAGGGAAAGTTCAGAGTGGCCCAGCCTCAGTCCTGCCCTGTCAGCCGCTTGTTAATTACCTTCGGAAGGACCTGCCTTGTGAATGTGAATGAAACGCCACTGCCCACACTGGGATCACAGGCCATGTTTACTAACAGGCGAGGTGTGGAACTGGCATCCAGAGGGGGGGGGGTTGAGGGATGGCTGGGCCCTGGCCACAATCAGGCCCCTGGACTCCAGGGGAGGAAGTCAGACAAGTGCCAAGGACAAGAGCCACAGGAGTCACTGTCACCACAGCCACTAAAGATAAATGTGGCTTCCAGCCTCGAACGAACTCTCACTTCCGCTGATGCCACCAGGAGAAACTCACCATTGCCCTTGGCTGAGTTTTCAGTGTCCAACCCACTCTGCCTTTCTAGGTTAAACCACATCGATTACATGTGTTCTCTTCCCCTGGCACTGCAAGAGCTTTGCTGGTGTTTTATTTCAGACTTTTGGCATCTATATTCATGAGGGTAGCCTGTAATTTTCCTTTCTTGTGGCATTCTGCCAGATTTTGGTATCAAAATTATGCTGTCTTCATTAAATAAGTTGGAAATCCCTCCTTTGCCAATGCGGCAGAATTTGTGTACCGTGGTAGGATCTCTCCCTTAAATGCTTGAGATTATTCATCAGAGATGCCATCTGGGTCTTTAGGTTGTTTGGCAAACAATTTTTAATTATAAATTCAATGTCATAAATAGCACAATTCCCATCGCCTATTTCTTCTTGTGTCGATTAAAACGTGTATTTCTAGGAATTTGTTCATTTCATCTAAACTCTTTAATTTATTGGCTCAAAATTATATCTTCTTAGCATCTGAGGAATCTCTCTCACCTTTAATATTGGTAACATCTTCTCTCTTTTTAAATTTATTTTATTATTTTTTAAATATTTAGGCATTTATTTATTTTTGGGGATTGAGGATTGAACTAAAGACCTTGCACTTGCCAGGCACTTATACAACTGAGCTAAATCCCTGGCCCTAAAAAATAAAATTTTAAAGGGAAGAAAACCAAGCAAAATAAAACAGAATAAAGCCTATCAAAATAAGACAGTGTGACACAGGATTTCAAAACAAGATAATAGGAAATCAACAATGGTTACCACAATGCCTCCTGTTGCCTACTTTCAGACATAGTAAAATCAAACAAAATAGAGCAGAATAGATCCAATAAAAACAAAACAATGAATGTGATACAGGACTTCAAAACAAGACAACAGTAAGTCCAAAATGGCTACCACAATATATCTTGCCATCTTTAAAATGGCTACCCATGCTATCAGATATAATAAAATCAAACAAGACAAAGCAGAATAAAACCCAATCAAACAAAACAGTGAGAATGATACTGGACTTCAAAACAAGATACTAGGGAATTAACAATGGTCACCACCTTTAGGAGAGCCCCATAGACGCTATACTGTGTATCATTATCCTCTTAATAGATTATTAGACTGTCAGCTTTAGGCCTGCAAAGTCAGTGCAAACATTAAGTTGTCTCTTACCTCATTAGCTATCATCACAGCCTGTGTTTCTCTGGACCAGCTGGTCGCTTACAGGGCAGGAAAGGAAGGAGTGTTGGTTCTTCTTGTCTCCTGCCCATGCCCAGAAGGGGGTGCTGTGAGGCTCTCCCCAGTCAGCATGCATATGGCGCCGACCCACAGGAGGTCTTAGCTTCTTGTTGACTTCCTGTTCTCCTTTCCTGCAGTCTTTGAATAGCACCAATTTGTAGGAGAGGGCTGCCTTTATTTTATTTTATTTTATTTTATTCTATTTTATTGGTACTGGAGATCAAACTGACAACCTCACACTTGCCAGGCAGGTTCTTGTGCTACTGAGTTATATCCTCAAACTCTCTCTCTTTTAAAATTAGTTTTCTTAGGGGTTTATCAATTTTATTAGTTTTTCATAAGATTCAGCTTTAGTTTTATTAATTCTCTCTATTGTATGTATACTTATATTTTTGAAGTTTTTATTCTTGTTATTTATTGCTTTCCATGTGCCATAGATTTAATTAGCTATACTTTTTCTATCCTTCAGTTGGACATTAAATAACTATTTTTCCTCAGATTATTGATATTCAACCTTTATTTCCTTAATATATATAGATATGACCATAAAGTTTTGATATGCTTCAAGCTTTGATACACCATATTTTCAATGCCATTTAGTTCAAATAATTTCTTCTTTTCATTGAGATGTCTTCTTTGATCTATGGATTACTGAGAAATATTCTAGTTAACTTCCAAACAACTGGGATTTTCTAGGTATGTTTTGATTTTAAGATAAATTTTAAAAGTAGTTTCTAGCTCAGTTTCCCTTGAATCAGAAGATGTGTTTGATTTCAGCCCTTAGAAATCTTTTAAGGCTTGCATAGCAAATGGGCCTGCAGGCCACAGCTCTCAGTGACCCGCTCACCTGGAGAGAACAGGTACCCTGTGGCTGCTGAGTGTTCTGTGCCATTTTCATACCTACATCCTTTCTGATTATTTGGCATCTTAGTGTATTAGCAAGAGAGAGACTGTCCACTGCTTGTTCAGTTTTCCTTATTTCTCCCTGTCCTGATGTAAAACAGGACAACTCTTTCCAGGAGTCTGAGTGTGACTGTGAGGGGGTCGAGGAGGGCAGTGAGGAGGACAGAGAAAAATAGCCAAGAGACACTGGAGCCTGGCTGCACCTGGGAGGCCTAAGCCAGCAGAGGGGCGGAGCT